AACTTTTGTTTTTGCTCCAAGAAAAGACCTAACAGAAAATTTTCGCGTTCGAAGAATTATTGTCCGCGACATTGTAACGCGGCCATTTTCGGACTTTTTTTAGAAAAAGATTTTTAAAATTTTTATGATACATGTTTTACAGAAAACGCAATGTGTGGGTTGTAGCTCTTGGTAAGCTCTACCACCATATGCAATCCAATCTTTTTTTCGTCTTCATTTTCCATCCGAAAATAAGCGATGAAAAAAGAAGGCGGCTTGTCCGCAACTTCTTGGCGGTCACTGTATGTCTGTATGTCTGTATGTATGTCTGTATGTACGTATGTTCCGAATAGAAAATTCCATTTCTGAACCGATCGGAACCAAACTTAGCACACATACACTTCAAGCCCCGATGGGTGTCACAGTCCACTTTTCGTTATCGATCGATGTTGATTTTATCGATTTTTTGCAAAATTTGAGCTAGGGGGCTGGAAGTGTATGTGCCGCCCGCAGGGGCCCGAAGTGTATGTGTGCCAAGTTTGGTCCCGATCGGTTAAGAAATGGAATTTTCTATTCGGAACATACGGCGGAGCCAGGTAAGCCAGCTAGTAGAAGATAAAAGGTGACATAAGGGAAGAAGGCGATTGTGTGTGTAGGGGGTGGGGAGGGGGGGAGAGGAGCTGGGTTTCCGCTTAGACGATATCCCCCTTGCTTTTTATTCCAAAACGATATCTAGCTTGTCATTGTTAGCCACCTGTGCCGAGCCCTGATGTGGACGTTGTGAATTAGAGCCGCGTAAGCTTGAAAGAGAGGGTAAGAGCTTGCAGAAAGTGTTTGATATTATCCGTAGCTGAAAGCAGCCAAAATAAACTATAGCTTCTGCCGGCCATATGCACTGTTTGCCTAGGTCTCTTTCTCAATTTTTACGTCAAATGAAAAAAAAACGCTGGGAGCTCAATAAGTTCTCGCTTTTAACACCTTTTCTACCTCGCGAATAACATATTGCTCCAAAAAGGACACTATGTGCGGCGGCATATTGTTATCCGCAGGTGTACGATATGCTTCTTTGCAGTTATCTTTGCATACAACGGGTATTCACAACCTCACATTTGAATTTTTCATTTCATCGTAATAAGCACCGCTTTATTCTTTCTGCGGGGAAAAGGCAAAGAGAGAGAGATGTCGCTGGATGCTAAAGAAAGCAGATGGAGCCAGGTCCACCGCAATCTGTAGGAAAAACTCGCAAGCGATCGTCTTGTGAAGGGCAAGAGCATAAAGACCTGATAAGCATTTTCGGAACTCGTGCTCCTAGTATGTCTTTGGCATCCGCCGCCCGTCGTTCTTCTTGTCTATTCGTTTAAGATCCTATCATTTTGACTGACCATCCTACATTTACGCCCTCCACATAAAAAAAACCTTTAGCATAAAAAGCGGCTTATCGCGGCTTCACAGCACGAGCTGCAAGATTTACAGTGTCCCAAGTAGTTTTATCTTCTCAATGAAACTGTTACAGAAATGAATGATGTCAAGGCGGAACATCAACATCAAGGAGATGTCATCGCTAAGCTCAGCACATGCCATCTGATTCCCGAGCCTCCATGGTGGGAGGCATTGTTCAACTTCGTTTTCCATTCTTTTTCCACTTATGCAGAGTGTTATCCTTATATTGAGCTCCTTTTTGAAAGAGCTTTTTCGAACATTGTTTTCTGACCAAGTTTCAAAACATCAGCACGTTTTTCAAAGTTAGCCAAAAAGGTGGAAAAAATCTAGACAAAATAATCAAGGAAATCAAAGGCATTATTTCTATGATGTGATCAAAGTTATTGATGTAATCGTATGTGTTGTTTTCAACCCCCAGACGAGAGTTTAATTACCCAAGAATGAGGTGGTGGTGGTACGATAAATGGTGCGTGTATTTGGTGTTGCACAACAGCGAATTCCACTGAACCATCAAACGGCTAACAGAAATCTAGGCGATTCCTACGAAGACGTGGAGGAGGTCGTTCGCAAGTCCTTCCACAATTGTTGTACGTGAATTTGACTCCAAGGAACATCTATAAGAGGAATATAGGATTGGGAGGAATATGGGCTTCGAGACAAAAACAACAACCATCTTGTTGGGTTTCTCTTAGCGCACGGATTCTCCAAAGGAACTCTAACTTGAGAATCGCTCAACGGGGCTTGCAAAGATCGAGAACATTTTCACTGACCGAAAGCGGAGCTTCACGATCAATGTTCCATCCCTCTGCAGTGCCTCCGATCACCGTTCCCTCCGAGTGAAGGTATGGTCCTATCAAAGGCTAAGAAAGTTCTGTTATAATGCCGAAGAAGGAAAAAGGTCCCTTCATGACGATGACAGGCTGAAGCTCGCTCTAAATTGTGACTGGCTCATCGGGTAGGACCGACGTACGACTACGGCGGACTTCTGGAAAGATTACGAGCTTGAAGGATGTGCCTTAGCGAATCGTGAGAGGAACGCATCTGGAAGTGCCCAAGAGAAGAAGCCCCAAGGCAAATCCGAATGCGGAGTGGTAGCGAACGCCAGCATCAGAGCAGATGCTCAGTAATATCTTTGAAAGTATAGGCCAGCGAAAATATTGGATGCAGCCGAAGTATGAGAAGTTTCAAGAAGTGCCAAAGGTACTTGCGCGATATTAATGTACCAGTGGCAGCACTATTGAAAGTACTCTACCTCCATCCGACATAAGATCAAATCTTTCACGAAGAATTACATAAATATCTTTCGCTTATCAACATCCGTGCAACAACAACCGAGACCATGAAGATGTCCACCTTGTAGGAGATCAGTTTGATTCGATCTTCTGTGAGGCGGAAGACACCCGTTTCACAAGAGATGCTCGAGTTGCATCTAGCAATAACTTCATTACGTTACTTTCCGGCTAGTGGAGAGCCTCGGGTTCATTCAACGCCCTTCTCGCGACTGGTGGTTCATTTCGACAGCTCCCACCTCACAGCGCACTCTGGAGAAACTCTTATTCCAGGAAGCCGTGGAACAGCGGGACCAATTAGTTTCACTTCGATCATGAACTATGCTTCAAGATTAAGCAATTGCCATCGGGGAAACAAGGTGAACTGACGCAGAGAAGAATTTAATCATGCATAAGAACATTGACGTTAGAGCACGAATAAAAGTTGGGTGCCACAAATTGAGAAATAGATGGGCAAGAAAATCTGTAGAGGAGAACCTCAAAAACCGTCTCTCTTCAGGTCAAGCTGTGGTCGATGGCATACCTCTGGTACGAGGTTTGCAATGCTAGCTGTACGAAAGGAATACTCAATTTTCTACAACTTGATTTCACAACTTGTACCATGGACACCATGTGCACCTCAGTTCCGCTGGAATGCGATCGGATGAAGTAAGACTCAGCGGCAATTCCCGTAGTTTTGCTCAACGATTCACGATGGTTCATCTTTACTTCACATTGAATGACTTTACAATATGTTCGCTGCCAGAGATATTTTGCAAACTTGCAAGAGCAAAGTGTCCTTACACCGAAGGTGTGGTGCGGTCCAGCATCTTGAAGGCAATATTCCGACTAAATCTCGCTCTCCAGATTCTCACCTTTTCGGAGCCTTTTCGCCATGCTGAACCCATATTTGGGCTTTGCAGCAAATAAAAATGGCGAAAATAAGTTTTCTTCGAAGCTTTTCATACCCACGTTCGCTTGAAAATGCATGTCCGGAAGGAAGAGGCGGGATTCGGAACTAAGGAGCAGAATCTGTGGATATCAGGCTATCCAGACACGGGTTTTCACTCCAGACTTCACTGATACGCTTCAAAACCAGTAACCATTACTTTGCCGGGAGGCTGTTTTTAAAGAAGTATGGAAATTTCTCCTTGAAAAGGTGGAAACTGACACCTCCCAGGTAGGGGCTTCTTTTTACCGCTTTACTGGACTACACCAGGGCCTGGCACCAGCTGGCACGGGGCAAACTGGATATCGTTTTTGGGGCAAAAAGCAAAGGGGGTTTCGTTTTTGTGGCCGCAGACACGTCAAAAATTGGTGACCTTTTTTTTTAGTCGACGTTTCGTTTTTGGGGGAGGGGGATTTTGGGGAATTTTTCAGGTTTTTAGAGGGGATATCGTTGAGGGTCAAAGGGGACTTCGTTTTGAAAATTTCCTGGTGCCAGCTCGTGCCGAGCCCTGGACTAAACTATCATGTTGTTATGTTCTCCATCTCACTGTTTGGCTGAATTTTAGTGCCCTTGGGTAAGATGCAAGGGAATTTCGGGAACCTGGTGCTGAAGGTAGACCCCTGACCCTGCCTTACAATTATCAGCCCTAAAAGTGATGATGACTGTGGAGCAGCCAGCTTCGCGGGAATTTTCAATGAATTTTTGAAACGCTTCCAAAAAAACAAATGGTTTTTTCTCGAAGTTTTACCAACGATTACCAAGATGATACATCATCCTTGTCTAAGAGTTACAATTATATGTATACAGTTTTTATGAAAATGGCTTCATGGATGAGCATCAGTACAAAAAGAAAGATGTTTTCATAATGTAGGCTCTAAATTAGATTATACTCCAAACATTGGTTTTCTCGTTGTTCAGAACTTTGTGTTTTGAACCCCAATTCTAAACTCTTCTAGTGCGCTAGTTCTAAAATACTTTGAGAAATTTTTAGCACTTGGCAACATAGGCTTTCCATGAATCTTTCTTCTTGACAAGGAACAGCACGATTAGGAACAGATGTCCGTAGATCTGCTTCAATTTCCTTCGTGAGAGCACCATAAGACACATGAGAGTGTGGCTTTGAGCATCACGCGGCTGTAACACATTGTGTGTGGGGAGGAGCTTTAGACGGATTTTTCTTCCCCGGGCACAGCGAACACACACACATGAGCGCCTTTGATCGAGTAAGTTCTACTTTATTTGAAACTTTTATTGATTTCTCTTTCGTCTTTCAAGTCCATAGGTCGAGTTTTACGGTATGATCATCGATTACCCATGTCCTATAAACACCAAAAATTGTACGGTTTGCTTTTAACTCAGCGGCTATGATGAGGCCACCGGCCGGTAAGACTCCATTAGTATCGCACTATTTGATTATGGTAACGTCGCACGACACACGACTTCCACTGCCACAAATGTGCACCTTACTGGGGTTTCGAACCCGGGACCCCCCTCGCGATAACGTACAGCACATCCACTGCGCTATGCGCACATGAATCATTTCGGGATTGAGATCCAGGGATTTTGTGAGCGACTGTATTTGACTGTTTTCGTTCAGGTAAAAGCAAAAGCACATGAATCGCGATGGTGTGTCAAACCGTATAAAGGATTTGTTGTTGGTTCACCATCAGAAACTTTCAAGGATATCGTCTCTACGGCGTGAGTTGAAATTTTTCGATTGATTTATTTTACTTCTGCAGGTATTTATTGTTGAGAAGACTGACGTCATTTGCTGGATGTTCTTCGACCAAATCTGACGAATCTGCCAAACTGTGGTTAATTTCTCAGTAATTTACTTCTCTGAGATCACTACACACCTTTTTTGCTTCTCTATTCCATGAAAAGTTAAAATTAGAAAAATTTATGAGTAGGGAAAACCAACTTCCAATGAGCTGCACAAATATATTAGGTCGTTCCAAAAGTAATGTCGCTTTCTTCAAACGTATGCCACATCTCGTGGAACAAAGATGTGAAAGAGATTCTGGTAGCATTCGATGCAGCATTTCATTCTCTTTCTAATGGTTATGAAGTTGTTGCAATAAAGTCAATGAACTTCCAGAAAAGAGTCAAAATTTGCGACCTATGCTGTTTAAGATGGCCAAGTTTCACAAATTTTCTAAAATTTTATAACAAACCTCAGAAGGAGTCTAAGTAATGGATGGATGGAGCAAACCCTACAGGAAACAGCACAACTTTTTTCTACTTTCCAGAGCTCGTCATGATTTTTGTACAGATTTTTTGACGGGACACCGAATTTTAGCAGGCTCGTCTAAGACATAAATGCATCAAACGCCAACAAGTCTTCGGATTTTGAAACTTACAAAGATGGGTTATGGTTTGGCAACAATTTTACAAACCGCACGACCATTTACCGCTTCTATAGCAACTTTCGAAAATTTCGGGTACACCTTGGGGTGCCTTGGAAAAGTTGAATTATGATGATTTTATCCCGGAAAACTTGGTGAATCGGAAACAAAAAGTAACCGCTAGAAAGAGGAGAAAAAGCTGCATCGAATGACACCCGAGTCGCTTGCCGGTTATTGTTCTGTGAGCTTTGACTTGACTAAATATGGAATTTGATGGCATTGAGAAATTGATTGTAGAAACTCTGAAAAGCAAGCTAAAGAAAAGAAAAAATTAATCTGTGTTCTATAGTGTTTGCTCTATCTACCTGCCACTTGTACTTTTTCGGAGATTGGGTACAAAAATTTAGAAAAATAGCCGAACTTGACCATGGCAAAAAGATGAGTCGCAGATTTTGGTAATTTTTCGAGAGCTCATTGAATATTATGCAGTGAAATTGCAATCATTGGAAAGAGGATAAAATGCTGCATCGAATGCTCCTAAGATCTCTTGAAAATGTTAATTCCTAGAATAGTGGCGTTCATTCGAAAAAAGCCATTGCTTTCGGAACGACCTAACAGAATTCTTTGAAAATGGTTCCAGTTTTTAGCTTGATGATTTCTGGAGTGTTTTATGTTCCTTTTATGTAAAAAATGCAAAATTGAGGTGGTAAATTTTTACCCCTAAATAAATTACTTGATAAATAAGTTTCTGAAAAAATAAATAAGCGATAAAGTTAACGTAGTAATTACGTACGGTTATAAAAACCAAAATATTTTTACGAATATATTATCTATATATTAGGGTGTCCTATAATTTTTTACAGTTTTGATTACAACCTTCGTCTCTTCGTATTTTTCCTTCAATTGATGTGGTTTGAGTAATCATTCGACAGGGCAAAGCAAGCTCTACAAAAAGGCTACAAAAAATTCGGTCGTATTTCACCGAAGTTTGGAGCTGAAATCTGATAGCAGTCGAAAAAAAAAACTTCTCCTTTAAAAATCGTATCTCCGCCCAAAAATGTCTTCAAAATTCCATTACCTGGCATATGCTTGACATATTGCACTTTCAATTGTACTGTTTCCTTATTTTTTCCATGGCTAGAAATAAAGAAAAAAATGAATGGGGTGAATTGGCAAACTCCGCCCCTAGACGTCCTGAGCCCTCCCCCATACGTGCTCATGTAGGTCATGTATTTTTAAAATTTGAAGTGCTCTCGTTCTCGAGAAATGCTGATGTCTGGAGTAAAAACGGTGAAAAATTATGAAACACTCTAATGTTCTTGCTTATTTTGCAGATTCTGGCATACTGTTGAACCCCTATTTCATTTTGCAACTGAAAAGAAAACTGTTGTAGCTTGTGCGAAAAACCTGTTTTCATGCGGCTCTTGAAAACAAGCACCACAAATATTATTTTTGTAAGGCAACTTTGTGCCACCATTGGATAAAAATCTTACTAGCAAAATTATGAGATTTTTGCTGGTTAGGAATACATCTTTATTTCTATTATATGATCCCACATGATCCTTCGTTCCTTCAAACAACAACATATTGCACTTTTGGGTATGATTTTTTCTACACGATAATATCACTGTTTAGGGCCCATTCCTACCAAATTCACTTATCCGCACCTTTGTTTTTCATTTATCGAGCAAATTTGTCCGAAGAACGATCCTCAGCTTTGTAAAAATATCCACGAAAATTGCTAAATATAATACTCCTAGCTCTTACATCACGATGTATCAGGAAGCGCAGCTGCTGTCGAATTTTTTGACTTCGTGCGAAAAGGTCAACGTTGATTTCCAATGAACAGCTGGCACAACTTATCCCGGCGGATATGCTCTTAGTCGAGATAACAAGCTGTGTGTAGCAGACAAATTGTCGAAACAAAGTTTTCAAGGGTTTTTGATTTCTTAGCTTTTATGAAAAACAAGACCCTCAAGCTTTTAACGCAAGAGATTTGGTCGCAATATTTACATTGAAGCTTCCACAGTCAATAAATTCTCATACAAACATGAGAAGTAACAGCACTTGATCTATTCTGCAATATGAGAGATGTGTTAGGGGTGTACAATTAAGAGCTCTATCAGTTCACAAAATTTGTAATAATATAGCACAAAAGAAAAAAGTTTCCTAGAGGGAGCAATCACAATATTTTTGATCATTTCTATTATTTACCCACAAGCTTCTTCTTTACCGCTTTACCAAAATTGAGTAAATGGCGTCTATAATCCCACATTTCTGAGCCTATATAATCTTTTCCAGGACTTCCTAACACCTAGTAAACGAACTTATAATCGAGTCAAGAATGCGATCAGAGCATAGTATTTAAGTTTCGGGATGTATATCTTTCGGGTAGGCTTTTTAAATTTCCTTACCTATATTTTTTGAGACGCAAGGAAAGGCGGGAATTAAACTAACATTTACAGTGCAGTCGCAGACCTTTCACCAATTGCCTAGATCGGCCGGTGATCGACTAGTTTTTCTAAAATTTCATTTATTTCCAATATTTCAGTAAATAAGATATCAACTAAACTAATTCCAAACAATTCCTGCGGGTGTTCACTCTGTTAAATTTTCCATTGTTCTTTCCCACAATCTCCGATGTATGATTGATATCCGCTCCACGGACCCAAAAGAAAACTCTTGCAAAACAAATGGATGACCCCGAGCCGTATAATCTCTATGGCTTTACGCAAATTATATATGTAGATCTCTACGTTCTGATTCGAAAGAAATCCCAAGTTTTGCATATGTAGTTCCAGTTCAGCGCAATCTACTAGATCAAAAGCTTTTGCAAAGATTTTCGCAAATTATAAGCGCTTTCTGTAGCTATGTAGTGCTTACTTGGAAAAAAAGTTTATTCCTGATCGTAAAAAAATTCGAGTTTCATCAAAGTGCTCAAAACTTCCGGAATTAAGCTTTCCGAAATGATAAATTGGACCTAGTACAAAAAAATCAAGCGCCAACTTTTCTAAACTTCTGAATTTTACCGGTGTTTTGAACGATGGCATCCAGCTAACCATTACTTTAACCACATTCCAACTGCCACTGATCCAAATTTATGTCGATCAGCTGTTTTTTGCGGGAGTGTAAAGCATGGCACATGCGACGTTCTCGTGCTCAATTGCTATCAAGCAACAAAAAAAATCCTTGTCCTTTAAGACATTTCACAGCATATGCTTGATACATCTTTGTAGTTGGGACGAAAATTGCCCCGCCTACGCAAACAAGTTAGCAAGTACATCCGCTTGTCTTCGGAACTCAGCAGGATTTATTTCATTTTGTTTCTACTGAAGCGCGCCAGGAAAGAAGCAAATATCTTGCGTTGTTTGATACAGAATCCTTTGAACTCAGACGCATCTCTGTAATGCCTTCTGGATTACGAACTCTCTACCACTTTACCCAACAATGTTTTTAACGAAGATGCGCAGTCTCGCGGCTGTTCTCAACTGGCTGTCAGAAAAAGAAAAAAGGATGGGCGAAATGACGGGAAAATAGAGGTCAAAAAGCGACTGTTCTTGATTCTGAGAGGGATTTTTTTGATTTACCCGTAATCAGAAGTTCCGGAAATTCATAAGAAAACTAAAAATAAACAGCGTCTTCGTGATCGGCAGATTTCTAGAAATTCGTTGGGAGACTAAAAATTGATAAGCGTTCGTTTAAATTGGATTATTCCTAGATCCGGCTAAACATTGTGGACAGCGAATAAATAAGTAATAAACAAATAAATACATAATTACTTAATCAAATAGTAATTTCGAATTTGCAATTAAAAGTGCAAAAGAATGTCCCATATTCGCGATGAAATCTTTTCAAAACAGACTGCGATAAAAGCATAGGAACTATTTGCAAACTGCACTTGCTATTTCAGAGTTGAAAATTTCAGTTTCAAGCAAAAGAATCGGTAACCAATAAAGACTAGATGATTTCGCTTGAAGTCCATATTTCGTCAGCTTCGTAAAAATGTTTCTGATAGTTCAGGGAATTAGCAACACATACTTTTTCTTCATTACTGATTAAGTAGAACAACCTGTTAAAAAGTTCTAAACTGAAATAAATGAGTGAATAGAAATTGGGCCCTGCTCACAATAAGAAAATTTGAATTCTTACGCGCGTACCACAAACTTTCACATACATGTACATAGTTCTTGTCAATTTCCGGCTATATAGTGTTCTTGCGCTGCCGACAGCATTTGCGCGTAGAAAATGACTGTAGGGACAAATCGTGCAAAGGGGCGCTCTAAGGCGAACTTTTACGAGTAAATATTATCTTAATGGCAAGAATAACAAAGTCACCATCAAACCTACTATAATAGCAATTTTGCGCAAAACAAAACTATAAGATTATCTTTTTCCAGGTTTGATGATGTAAATAACTCATATTCGCATGCGAAACACTCTCGTTATGATGAGATGTATCACCCGCATTTGGGGACATTCAGAGAACGAAAAATGTACACAACGCTTGCACCAAGTCTTTGCATTCCAAAGAGGTTGGTTTGCCGTTAACTGTTAGGAGATTTGTTTCCAAATAAATTTCTTTCCAGAAATCGCGTTTGCGATTACGATCTGGTCCCACACAAGTCGTACAACACAAAACAAAGTGAATGGCTTGTTGAGCGGGATCGAAAGTGAGCTGACCTTCGAAAAATATTGACAACTCATAATAAAACGCTCCTCACCATTCAGCACTGCTTTCGTGAGCACCATCCCCGCCACGCCTTCTTTGGAAGCTTTTTTCATGCCCAAAATACGAAAAAAGCTAAAGGGACTTGTTGAACAAAATTAGATGTAGACCCACACCCAAACTTCTTCCTGCGAGTTCCAGTCAAAACTAGCATTCTTGCAAACTCCGCCCCTTGCCACTCCCATTTTTGGAACCTATTCTCCAAACTTTTAACAGCAGTGATATACACTTTCTTCCAGCCATCGCGTGATGCTTCCGCGCATTGCAACTCGTCCTCTTAAAGAAATGACCATGCCCGGGGAAAAGCCACTAAGCAGGTGTTACACACTGCCGACGAGTACTACAAGGTGATTTTCGAAGATTGCAGAGTTCTCGCATTGGAAATGCAAATTCAGGTTCGACAACTATTTCCGTTATTGGAAAGGCCGCGCATGCGGTTTGGATTACATCTCACCGTTTTTAGAGCCGGAAGATTGGCGACCAGCTGAGGTTTGTCCATTGGTGGCTGTGGCTTGAATTCATTGTAATTGGTGTTTGTGAAACTAACGCATCAAATCATTCTTCTATTTCGTGGAGACACGCAGTAAGCAATTAGTAACAGGAACCAGTAACATAGTCAACTTCCTTGAGCACGGTCTAGTAGAATTAAGCGTCAACTCAATGTAATACCTCTAGGGTGGCGACCTAACCATGCATAAAAGGAAAATTCGAAAAGACTCCAAACTTACCGATTTTTTTTCCAGGATCGTCGTTACCAGCGCATCTATTGGGCACCCGAATTTCTCTCAATCACTCCTTCCTGCCGGCATGCCGCTAATTTCATGCTGTCAGCTTACTAGTGATGGCATTCGCAGGACACAACGACAATGTGATATCCACATAAGCTATAGAGCTGCCGTTTTGCTGATCATCATTAGTACTACGCTGAGCCTGTTATATCCGATAAAAATGTGCAGAGTATTTTGAAACTAAGAAAATTATGTATTTTGCAAATTTATTTAAGCACAAGGCAGACAGATGCAATGATAATGTCTATGGATAATCTTTAAAAATAATTCACTCAGACCTCGAAAGCTTTCGAACCTGCGCGGCAAGAGTAGGGAAAAACATGTAAGAATCACTGATTTTCTTTTTGCAGGCAAAAACCGGACGATGACTTCTTCAAGAGTTTGAGGGTCACTTTAGAGACTAAAGGGCATACATACAATCTCATTAAGAATAGTATTAATACGACAAATTATGATTTACGACCGAATCCAAAAAAGCATACCTAAACATGCAGGGACAAAATAGACACTATACATTATCTACAATGGAACTACTCCACAAGAGGAATATGCGAACACCGAATCAACAAAGGATATATAACTGCTTTCAGATAGGGAAATTTTGAAAAAATAGCGACGAAAGCAAGTCAGTTGTATGAACAAAAATGAACATTTAAAAAAATCCCGTAGTCGTATTTAGTTTACTGGTAACCCCTCTCGCGGAGGTCTCGTCCTTTTTCCGATTCTATATATCGTCTGAAATGAGTTTTAGTTGCATTTAAAACGAACAAAAAGCAACCCACAAATACACTTCAGGTCATAAATTTACTAGAAAAAGAAAAAAAATACCTTCTATGCAATGCTATCATTTCCCTCTTTGCAATTTGATATGGCGTAAGATCTTCTTCAGCCGTCGAGCTTCCTGTGGGATCACCAGAAGCAGAGCGCTGCGGAGGAGAAGGTGTGAACGCTGAATCTGATGACGAAGCAGCGTCTTCACCACTGCTATCGTCATCGTCATCAAATAGCAAATCATCGTTGTCTCCCGCTCCGCCATTGACCCGCCAAGGATGTTCGTCATCCTGGGAAAAAGGTGAAACTTATTTTCATAGCAAAGAAAATGCAAAAGTAAAATAATGAACATAACTATCAAACAGTGGCGGTCCGAGAAATTTTTTTCGGGGGGGGGGGCGCGAAAAAAAATTTTTTCTAAGGAAGGTGCGTGGCGTTAGCCACGCACTCCGAAAAAATTTTTGGGGTGCTTCTCAAAATTTTTGCGGGTTCCCGACCCCTAAAGTCTGAAAAAAGGGGGCGTGGCGTCAGCCACGCCCCCGAAAAAAATTTTTTTATAAGGCTAAAATGAATTTTTTAAAAATTTTAAAAATTATTTTAATTATTTTCCAGTGCAAACAAGTCGTTTGCACATTTTTACAACCCATATAGGTAAGTTTCAAAAATTTCGCGACCCATTCTCGGGGGGGGGGGCGCGCGCCCCCCCCCCCCGCCCCCCCCCCTCGGTCCGCCACTGCTATCAAAATACATTAAAATTTAACAGGGTACTCAACAAAGCATTTTCCTAACGAAGCAGAAATCTCAAGCGCTTACATCATTCCCCATTATCCCGGCCATGAATCCTACTCTTCCCTCGAGTATATTCTCTATAGTCGCCTGTGTTGATCCAGTCACTCGAAGATCTTCGATAATGGTCTCAACGGGTATTTGCGGAAACATCTCATTTACCTAAGCTCATTCCCTTCGTTTCTCAAATACGGAAAATAAGATAGAAGTAATACCTGATTAGCCATTCCTGTCAACTGCGAATCATCGTGCTGGGTTTGACGCCTCAGAAAAGGATTGAGGGCAGTTGACCCAGTGGAAAATTCGATGGAAAACGATGGAAGCCGCAAAAATCCAAAACTATAGAAAAAGGTTAAAAAATGAAAGAAAATGACAAGAAGCAATCGTACTTACCCCCCACCGAAACGGAATGTGGTGGTTGATCCCGGAGATGGCGGAGGCGGTTGGTTCATGGGTGGTGGTGCAGATACCGCTCGGCGACAAGTTGGGCATGATCCATCCTGCGCCAACCACCACATCAGACACCAGTCATGGAATTGATGACCACAGGGAAGGCGACGAGATAGTCCAAGCTTTTCCCAGCACACTAAATCGACTATACACAGAAAAATAACAACGATAAGGCAAGAAACAAATACAAGTGATAGTGAAAAAAGCAAAGGGACGACCCGCTAAGCAAAGTGAAAATGTCAAATTTTCGTAACCCTCATCAGGATGAAACATAAGAAAACATATGTATTGAAGATCAAATGCTTGCTAATTGATACAGATAAAAAAAAGTATCAGGAAAAGACTTGTAGCGAGAAAAATCAGTCAAACTTCATCGGCTGCAACATAGTGAACGAAAACACCAAAAAGATCGTGTAAATGCCTCACCAATGCAAAGATCTCTATCTTCGGCTACTTCATTCGGATACGTGGATTGAATATGCAAGAAGATTTGATTATGCTTATGATGACGCGTAAGAGTGTTCACAATGGAGCTGGAATAGAATCCAGGTAAAAACGCAAAAGGTAGAAAGTAATAAACACATACTTGTATGCATTCTTGATGTGGTAGAAGAAAAAGAAGCAAGTAATGTTGAACCCGAGCGGTGACATAAACATGAGATGGATCTGAAAAAGAAATATTTTGAAATGAAATGAAGGTGGAAGACATACTCCTAAATTTAAAAATTCACATAGTTGAAGAGCTGGATTGTATCCGTGGCAAGAGTGACAGATAAGTCGAGCCAGTAATTAAAATGTCGCACAGCATCTGGACTACGCGCGAAACGTTCTGATGATGAGAGGCAACGCAAAAGCCCATGTAAGGAGCGTAACAACGACAATGTAGCCTAGAAGACCAATTACAATAGTGTCAGATCATAGCAAAGAGAAACTTACGTCTACAAGAAGGAAAAGCATGTGGCTGATGTTTATTTGATCGTGAAATCTGATGACCAACATTATCAAGAAGACAGAAAGAGCAAAGAGTGAAAAGCATAACCAAGAAAGACGACCACCGGACGATCCTGCTGATGTAGAAACCTAGAATAAACCTTTACTCTTTCTGATAAAATGCCTTTCCGTTTTCGCTGAGAAGTTTATAACAGATATAATCATGATTTATATTATATGATATTGTTTCTATGGTTACTTGTTTGATAACTGCAGAGTACTATTACTTTTTGTCATTTGTTCGAAAGTAGTAGGACTGTCTGAGCTGTTCTTCATATGACACCGGGAACATACTGACGCTGATTAGTGCTTCTTATTCTGAACCAGCACGTACATCGTCGGTGTTGAATAATGAGATGTCAGGGCTGCCTAATCTTTTCATACGCAAAAAATGAATGGTGTCACTGCAAGACCAAGCATTTGATCATTCAACACCGGCGAAACAGGTAACACCGGTAAAGTTGTCGACATCCAAAATGTATAGCCACGCTTTGAATGAAACACAGCTAGAAGGCTAGATTATTCAGCATCAATCAGGATATAAATAACTCAAAAAAATTCGATGAATGGGCGGAACATTGCCGGGCATTTGTTAGAAAATAAAGAAACTACTGGTTTTCTGGCTTTATAGGCGATTCAACATAAAGTTACTTGTAATTCCCTATTGTAATGGTGACGGACGAAGTTCAGGTGGTATGAAAGCCTATGATTGCAAACACCTCCCAATTTAAAGATGAGTCTCTAAAACTGATATAGAAGGAACTCTCGCTGTTATTATCAATAAAATCTGTTCCTAATTCGATCTTCAATCGTAAAGAAATCATGCAACGAATCCGACTATTTGTCCAGTCGATCTGACACAAAAAAAACCTCTCATATCGGCTAAATCAAACTTACAAATTTGAATCGCTGGTACGCAATGTCATGGAGCACTGTCATGAATCCAATTATTCCAAACCATACTAACCAAGGTAAAATTCTATGCGACTGGTGTGCACCGGCTACTACCGACAGAAAAACTATGCTGAAAATAGAAAACCAATAGGTAACCATGCCAAAAAAGAACATTACAAAAATGTAAAATGTAAAATGCATACTCACCTAAACATAAGAAAAGATAAGAAACCATGACGAACAACGATTTCTTCTTGCCGAGTAAGTTCTTTGAACGTTAACTTAGTAACAAACTTTGCAATAAGAGCAAGAACAGCAAAGTAGGTATTGATAGATACCTAAAAAGTAGAGTAAAGACGTCAAATTGAAAAAAGCACAAAAATTAATCACTAACCCATATCAGGGGACTATTGCCTTTGATGTACTGGACGGCTTGCACTACTGTGAGCGAAGAGAGATACTCTAGATCTTTTGGATCATATGTGGATGTCAATGAACTGTTGAGTATCTCTTCTTGAAGAAGTGATTTGATCTGAAAATAAAAGCAAGGATAAGAAACATGCTAAAGTTGCTACCACTCTTTCGTCGCGCCTCTTTCACATTGAAGAGTATTGGTATTTTAGATTTCCACCACACTTATGCGAAAAACAGCTCAAAAACTCGTTTTTTATGTTCTCTCCCAGAGAACTCACCAATCCCTGCGCCGTCTTCTGGGCAATTTTGAGATAATAAATATAAACAGAACGGTCTAGTTCCGCTAACTATTATGTCACTGCGGTGAGAAAGCACCCTCAGTTTTTTTTTGACGCGGCACGTGTGCGGAGGTGCGGAACGGAAAGCATGTGCAGTGGCATCATGGTATGAGCGCGTGTTTTTGTACTTTTTCAGCAGATTGATTACCGCGCAGCCATTTTAGCGAATGCGCGAAGCAGATAGTAAAAAAACCATCCTCCCTTCGTATTGTTACTAGTGTAAACTATCATGGCATATGAGAAATAAAATAGAAAAAAACATGATGAAAAGCTAAGATAGTCGAAAACCAGCGCCTTCTGCAAGAACGAGTAAAAGATAAGCTATAAATTTCTGTCAAACTAAAACCACAAAGCATGACATGAGCAAGAGAAAAGATAAAGTAGGAAAAAAATGACTCTGTGCAAAATCCGGTATATGGCAAAATAATAAAAAAAAAACGAATCGATAGATACCGACCTCAGGTTGAGACTTGAAGACGCTCACAATATTAGCCAATGCTATGAGCGATATGCAGAAGCTAATAACAATGTAACTAGTGAGCGATGGAAAAGGTGTTCGACTCAATCGTAAAACACTTGAAAATCCCGTATGATTATTACGACGTGGGCGATCCATCTCTCCTAATAACTGAAATTCAAAGATTGGACTAAAAGAAAGAAAAACACTGAAAATGACCGAGATAGCTTGCATTGCAACAACCGTATTGTAGCCAGTGAAAAAGAAAGAATGATTATTCATGTCAACGTGAGTTAAATGAAAGATAACACACAGAATGTTTCTTTCACGAGTTACATCAGGCGAGGTTTAGCAGCGAAGTAAACAGTGAGGTGGTTTATTGATTAGAATGTGAGGCAGAATTCAACACCGTTGCGAAATTAGAAGAAAAAGAAATGTTGCATGAGAAGCTGAGTGCTGTAATAGTGTTAAAAAGTTCAAGTGTGGGAAAAAGGAATCATCTAGAAATTTTGACGAGAAAAGTGCAAGTGTAATGCGTTTATGTGATTTTCACAAATAAAACTCAAAGTACTAAATGCAGGAAGTTTAACAAAACAAATATGAACTGCATTGATATTACCAAAGCAGACGCAGTCAACTTTTGTATGAGAATGTTCTATTGCCTATAAATCAAGTTTTACAATACTGTCAAAACAATGCAAAAAGTGAAAGTGAACGGTATCGGGTCATGTTCCAGAGATAGTAGTTAGTTTTCTTTAAGCAAACACAATGTTCATCGCAGTTACTGATAGGAAATGTAAACAAATGACGTCGCATATGTTCACATGGTTATGAGAGATTTCAACCACCGCTCAGCAAACAAGATTCGCCGAACTAGACTTTCAAGCTTTGAAGAAAAAAGTTCATGTTTCTAGTTTGTGTTTCTGCCATCGAACAGAAGAAGCAAAATCAACAAATAACGAAAAGAATTACTTTACGCCCATACTACTAATCTCCTTTCTCAGATAGAGACTTGTAAAATGAATCAAAGTATGAATTGAAGTAAAGCAGATTCATTTTGTCTTATCACGAACAGTCAAGTTCTCCTTCAAAAACGTCTTTCTTTGTACCGTGCTCTCCTCCCTATTCACAACGTAAAGATAAAGATAACTAGAGAAAACAAGGAGAAGATGGCTCATAATTGAAAACCTTTCTTTTCACCGATGCAAATCAAACCTAAATAAATAATTTTAAATAGTGCTTGAAAACATGAACTAGCATATCGAACGTATAAAATGCCAGAATACCTTAGCCAGAGGAAGAAAAATAAACCGAAACCTCATCAGAAGAAGAAAACAACGTTCAATAGCAAGCGCACGCGACACAGCTGTGGCGGACAAGCATTCGCAACGGCCGACGCGACGTCGCGCGAACAAGATTTAATGCGGACGAGTTTACGACAAACAAGATTAGGGCGAATATTTTCAATGTAGCGCGCAATTTCTCGCTGACCCATATTTTTAGATACCTTTTTTTGGAAGTGTTAATCCATTCAATCGCTTTGCTGTTAACTTTGCACAGCTTAGCATTTTTCGGACTTTGATCTTGAAAAATCCATCTTTATTCCTGCAGGCATGTCCAGTGGGTTTGTTTCAACAAGTGAGCTAGAGGAGGAGAAGAAAAGAAGACAAGAAGAATGGGAGCGGGTAAGGAAGCCAGATGATCCAGCAGGTTATTTTTTTAGGTCCTCTCTGAAATGGAATTCGTGAAATCTGCCATTTTCAGTGGCTCCAGAACCTGAAGTATGCAACAAATCGCTCTATGAGCAATTGAGAGACAACAAAGAGGCCAAGCAGGCCGAAATCGATGAAGCTAAGAAATTCAGTAAGCTTAGTTCTCTGCATATATTATTTCCATTTACAGACTGGGTTTTTAGTCATCAAATGAAGTTATTCAAATATATTCAGAGAATATGATCCGAGGAATAGATGAGGACGAAAGCGAATTTTTGGCTCGTGTTAACCAGATGAAATCAGAACAAATGCGAAAAGCAAAGAAGGTAGATCTGTCAGTCAATCTTGTATAGTTTTCTTCCAAATGACAGTCATTGGGCGATATTCTCAGCCAAGCCAGACTTCGCTCAAAACCGCTCAAAAACGCTCAAAAGCGCCCAGATTTCCCTCATATCTCTTCACTTTGTCGTGTGAGGAGAGACAGAGAAAGTGAAGAGAGGTTAGAGGAATTTGGGCGCTTTTGAGAAAGGTCTGGCTGGGGCCTCAGTTAAAGATTATAATTTTGTTGTTTGCCACCTTCTCACGCGTCGTTTGGAAGCGGTTTTTTTTTGAGAATTGAACAGGCTCATCGCATCAGCATCAAACATGACTCCATTTATCTTGCAAAAACCTAGGTCTAAAACTTGATTTTAGACCCAAGGACTTGATGTATCGTGCTGGACCTGTGTTCGAATCTCATCAGTCGCTTAGAATTTTTCTCTTCAGGAAGAAGAAGAAGCGCTTAGAGAAGCTGCCATAGCTCGAAGCCAGTTGAATTTGACCGAACCTCCTACAGTGTCTCAGTTGAAAGTTGCACCCACAGACAACAAACCACAAAAGTCGAAACAGGCAGCTATACTCTCTACTGCAATCAAACGAAAATCGTATGTTCACATAATCTCACAAGTTAGCTTGTAACCCTTTTAGTCAAAGTTTTAGTTAAATATATTTTGTAGAACTAGCAGCAATGGTGATGGTACAACTGAGAAAGTGGCACGACCAGCTGAGAATCCTGCCAATAATCGACCGGCTGAACAAGTTACCGGACAACCAGCAGTTTCGGCAATGAAAATTGTTGGAACGATACCTGGTATCGGAAGTTATGATGCGTCGAGGTTTGTGCTAGATTTGCCCACTTTTTTTCTGCCTGCTGTTGCTTGGCATTTCCTCTAAAGCAGAGTCTTCGTCGTAATAATGATTTTTTACAATGATTTGTTGATGATTTTATTTGACAGCAATTCTTAATCCACTGTAATGCAGATTCAATGGCGAAGGGTATTTAAGCATCTTCTTTACCGTTTTCCTTTGAATACTCCATTCTAGTACCCTCGTTACTTTTACGAACAGACCCATACCCCATCTGTCTTTTCATTTTGCCGAACCATTCGCGCTATGCTTCTGTCTACTGCGTTTAGTTGTAGTGTATGTAACGTATCAACACTTCCGCACGCAAAAATAAAGATATCTAGGTCTTTGCAGCGGTGTGACTGTGCGTTACAGATAAAAGTGGTAAACTGTACTTGGGTATTTTCCGGAACTGCTATTTCTGTCTGCAAAAAAATTGAAAAGGGATAATTTTTTTGTCCTGGATTCCAGATATTTTTTCTTTTATTCATTAGGCGAAGGCCGTTACTGCTTATTCTGCTTCTCATTACCAATTGTCGTGTAAAGTGAAAGGAAGTGGAAAGCTGTGAGATATTTTTTGTGGCCCTAAGAGTTGCAAAGGGGACGAGTGGCGTATTGGTATGAGGCGCCGCTATGATCAGATCGGACCCAGGTTCGATCTAGCCCCTGGGCCAACCAAGCCCTCTACTCTCCGGAGACGGTAAATTGGTACCAGAGTAATCTGGGAGGATAAAAACACTGATTTGGTAATCGGTTGGCCCCCGCAAGTCACTGTAATAGGCCCGCACGCATACAATTGCCTCTTCGACTATGAAGTAGAGTGCGTTTGGCGGCCCGCAGAGGGTATTGAAGACGCCGAATCCTTTATCCTTTAAGAGTTGCTAGGTCAGGTAAATATGTTGCCTCGAATTTCTATATTTAACTAACAATAAGGTTCCAATGGCCATTCTTATAACTTATCTCCCACGAGATATCATTAAACCTTTCTTATTTTAGTGATAGCGCTTCGTCTACCAATAGCGAAGATGAGGAGGACCAGTACATTCCTGTTCTGCAGACCACGCGTCCACAAAAGAAAACTTCCTGCGAGGAGTAATTGTTTGGTTCATTCACAAGACTGCACGAGAATTGGACCAATGTGTTCTCGACGGAATGTATGGCACTTGCCACTTTGCTTTTAATCAAGCAGAAATGAGATACTTATCATGCAGAGTCTCTCGAGTATGTTTTCAAATAAGGGACCAGTTCTCGTGCGATCTGTGCACTGCACGTTTTATGCTACTGTCACTATTTCTAGGTCATCAAGCGAAGATTCATGAATTTAATAAAGGGTAGTCAAGCCCATCTGAGTGCTTTTCTGTTTTTGCAATCGGTGCGGTGTATCAGTCAAATTCCAATCTAGAAACTGTATTATGTCTCAAGGTTTCCTGCTGTATTATGCTTTGCGGTTTGGAACATCATGTTTATGTTGCCACATTACTATATTTGAACTGTAGTTGTTACTGGATTGTTGATGAAAGCATTTTTGCTTTGTAAATATCGTAATAAACATAAATTTCTCGAAGATTTGCATTATGCAGATGTGCATCATTGTGAAATATATTCATAGATAAGCTAATTGCGTTCATTACCATATCAAGGTATTCTGTTAATAGATGAGTTCTGAGACTGTTGCACAACACTACAACTCAGTAAGGCAAGATGGCATTGCGGGCCGAGCTGAGAGTAGAATTTACTATCTACGGAATCTAAACAATTGGATGAAAAGCGAGCTTATAAGTAAGTTTCTCCTTAACTGGGCATTTTGGCCTTTACTTTTTCTGATTTTCCTTTACATTCTCTGATTTTTATGCTGATTCTAGATGAAACTATGCAAATGCTCCGCAACGAAGCTGTAAATAAGATGTTACGGCCTAGAGTATTGGATTTGGCTTGTGGTAAAGGAGGTGATCTCAGAAAATGGAAAATCGCAAATGTTGATAGCGTTGTTATGGCAGGTTGGTCTAGAATGATTTTTGCAAATTTGTCACTTAGAAGTTTACATTGACAGCGTTTAGACGTAGCAGATGTCTCGTTGACCCAAGCGAAGGAAAGATATGATGAAATGGCCCAAAGAGAGCGATCTGGTTTATTTCCAGCCGAATTCGTCCATGCAGATTGTTGCAAGGTTATCATATTTATTTTCACCTGTGTTCTTTCGAAAAGCTCTGAAAATATTTTAGGACAACTTGAAGTCCATGATCAAGTCAAAACCTGAGTTTGATCTTGTTAGTTGTCAATTTGCCCTTCATTATTCGTTCATCGACGAGCACTCTGCTCGTACTTTCTTGCGCAACGCTACAGAGACGTTGAGGCCAGGAGGCTATTATATTGGGACTCTTCCCGATGCTGAAAGGATCGTGTAAGTTTGAGTTTATCTAGTCGATCACCATCAACTCCATTATCTCCTCAGATGCGGTTTTTTTCCAAACCGTCTCATTTCCGTTTCTCTCCAACATAATTGTTGATAGTTAACATTTGTGTTAATGCCCCCTTAATCGATGCAGATAGCAAGCTTGGTGCCATCTTCTTTATCACTCTCATTTGCAATGCTTTTTGGCGATGTATTCTTCCGAAGGACGTAGATTTGGTTCACGGCGTAGGCAATGCACGAGATTGTGCGGGACATTTCAGAGTTTTGCCTAATTATCTGCGTTCTTATTTTGTGGCTTGTGCTAAGCACACATGGCTCTAGTAGAATCTATCGCTACAAATATCTTTTGGTTCTGACTAAGCAAATTCGATCAGTCTAAGAAATGCTCTATTAAAGAGTGTAAGGAGTGAACCTTCGTTAAATTATCAGATTGTCCGGAAAATAATGTCGCAAGGCATCCTACCGCGACAGAATGACCACAAAAAACATCGAGTGGGGTATCATTCGATAGAGCAAAGCAAGCTCTACAAGATAGTTCACAAATCTCCGCGGAGATATTGCCCCAACTGAAGTTCGAATCCAAAATATAAAAAATTTCAGGCGCCCAAAAAATCGTATCTCCGTTCACAGAAGTCTTAGGGATCTCCAATTTGCACAGGCATGTACTCTCCACACTAGACATTCACCTGTATAGTTTTTGGTATTTTTCCATGGCTACAGTACGAGAAATAAAAAGAGGTCAAAAGTGCGAATATGTCGTGTTTTTCGGGTTTTTTGCAAACAATTTGATTTTTCTCGAAAACTAGCGCTTGTCTGAAGCTGAAAATTCATGGTTATACTCCTAAAGGTTCATGCTACAGAATCACCCATGTGAGAGAAGCTCAGGATTGCTTTAGCAAAAACCTGCCATATTTGGTTTTCTCAATTTTCAGTCATGGAAAAACCTCGAAAATGCGCGTACGAGTGTCTCGTATGGTGAGTCCATGCGTGAGCAAGTTAGGGGTCCTCAGGGCTTCTCTGAACGGAGATACGGTTTTTTTCGTTTTTTCGGATCTTGAGTGCTTTGTGAAATTTGGCTCCAAACTTCACGCAAATCAAACCTGGCGCGAAGACTCGAGCTTCGTTTTGTAGAGCTTGCTCTGATCTATCGGTTGATACCCCATTCATATACTTTCGTGCGCACCCTGCTGCGATATTGCATGATGAAACAAGAAGCGACATTATTTTTCAGACAACCATATATTTGCATCATGGCTGTTTACATAAAAGAGAGTTGAAGATAGTTTATTTTTATGGGTGTTTTAAATGGAGTTCAGTTAGTGGGATTTTTATAGAGTAAATAGCAAGGTCACAAATAAATTAGTTTTAGTTGACTGCACAGTATCGCCTGAGCAGGATGGCCGCGAGCGTGTCTCTTGCGGACTAGGTATGGGTGCGCGGAGTCGGGTGTAGGCCGGAAGGCGACAAGACCCAGTTGGAGCGAGCGCATGGAGGCCACGCCCCGCATGAGCGCCTGTGACACCGAGGGCGAGGTCAATCAGGCCAGGGACTGACGCTCTTTTGGCACACGTGCTGGCGCACTGATAGCAGCAGCATTATTCGGGGTTCCTATGGATTTACTTGTTGCTTAGAGTCAAACTACTGTCAAATATGGGCTAGCCGTGTACGCAGTAAATGTGTCAATTAAGACTTGTTTATCTCCTTGCTGATACTTGTCCATAAGCTTGATAGTGCAACTTTTGGTTTTTTCAATTCAAGATTAGAAAGACAAGCATTACAGAGCTACGAAACAAGTTATTATAGCTTTGGAACAAATGAGAAAACATAATCGCAATTCACCATCAAGACGGGTTATAAGCAGATCAAATTCTTCGAAAGCGCGTTCTTTTGATCTAGGAGTGCAGTTCTTCCGCGATCTTCATTCTTTTGATTAACGGAAATCGATTTGTCACATTCAGTTTCATAGATCATGCATCTCAAGGACTGAGCTTGTCATGAGTCATGAACTGTAATCAGGACATGACAAAGGCAGAGTGTGGTATTGTTCAGAAGACAAGATAAATCAAAACGATTATATTGTTGCAGATCAGCTCCCTTTCAGTGGAAGAAATACAAACTCCTTTTGTCGAAATCCAAAACTGTCTAATTACTCAACCCGCTCAGCAAACCCACATTCTGTCCATAATGAATTCTGTGCTTTCTTTGCTCTTTGAACGGTAATCCTTTATTCTCAATGAAAAAAAAGGCAGCGATACTAACAATAAGAAAAAAAATGGTTATTATCAATAATACATTACATGTATTGCAAGCGACACTGAAATAAAAAAGAAGAAGTGCGCGAATAATCTCAAAATCGAGATCCCACCGCAGGATGCGTCCTTGCTCGAAGTGCTCCATTTCTTCTTCTATGTTCAGCCTGAAGAAAAGTCGTATTGTAAAGAAGACACAACAAAATAATAGCTCACCTTCACTTGATATAACTGGCTTACAGTACCGTTGTTGAGTGGGATTCTACTCACATTCTATCCGTTCGACATCATCAACTTGGACGAGGTCTGCATAAGAACTAGTTAACATATAAAAATATGGCATAGTTAACTAAATAACCTAACTTACAAAAAAATACAAAAGTATCACATCACTCAAGAACGCAGATATCAACTAACTAACCTCCTCACCAGGAATCTTTTATTGCGCTATACATATTGCTGCAGTCTGAAACAATTTTTTTTAACAAAAAGCAGTTTCGAAAAGCATATGCTTACAGGCAGGCAAATAAAGAAAGCAAATCATCACTTTACCACAGTGAGCAACAGAAAACAAAACAGAAACATGTTCAAAAAACCACATGGGAAGAAACGACGAAGTCAGAGATTAAGAGAGCCATGCGCAATGGGTATAAAGGCGCCCCAATCCAAATATCCAGAATCCTAACAACGGGAAACTCGGCCGGGGCGTGGCCACTAGCTGCGCCTGTTCTAGGTCATTTGTCGCCTTCCGGACGTTCCCCCGCGGAGTCATAACGTCCGTACTCGGCAGCCGCGTTGTGGGCACGCTCGCGCGCGTTCAGCCTACAGCGACATGGGCGATTTCGTGCAGTCGACTTTACCCAAGTCTTTGTGAAAGATGAACCGAAGCAAATTGCTCCAAAAGTTGTAACTGCTGTTGTCGCCACGTCTTTAACGTTGGTTCCATAAGTATGGACCAAAAACTGGAATCCGAGTACCTAGCGATATTGAGAATGTATCTTTCACAATGATTCGACAGTAGATACTATCAACTCTATTTTTGGGTACTTACTTAGGGGCCTTGCTATCGCATGCACCAGAATCTCAATAATCTCATTGGGTGGACGGTGCCTCTGTTTAAACCGCAACGGTTGTTTTTGCTTTTGCTCAAACCTGATTCGTCTTGCATTAGTGATAGAACCAAAGATTCAAGAATTCGAAATTTTATATTTTTGTGAGTTCTTTTCCATATAGGCTCACGTCTATCGTTCAAACTGTAATGATTTCTTCATCTTACATCTCATATATTTAGTTTCAATTTACTTTATGAGAATTAAGCTGCATAGTGCTTCCATACTTTTCTAGTAATCAATGTTAGAGAAAGCTGAGTTTTGTGAGAGAATGAATTCCAAGCTCACAGAAAAACAGCTGAAATTTAGTCTGTAGTACTGCATAGGAAAATTTTGCATCCACATCGGCACCACTGTCTTTCTTTTCTGATTAATGCTGTGTACCTCTTCAACCAGAGCCGTTTTTGAATGATGAGATGCTGCGGTAGCTATATATCAATGGCGCTAAGACAAAGCTTGACAAGATGTGTAGCTGCTTTCCAAGCGGCTGCATAGAAAATTTGGAAAAAAAAAGAAGTGGTGAAAAATTTACTTCGCTTCAAACAAAAAAGAATTTACTTCAATGGGAGATACAGCTATAATTCTGTGGAGTTTTCTAGTCTGCGTGCCGATGTTCACATGTGGCCAATTTGTGCTTTTCATTGTTAGTGCAGTCTTCACTTTGATGTGTGCCGATACCCCCTGTGGAGCGAATGAGGTTGTTCCTCATGTCTCTTTCCCATATACACAGACAAACTGTCGTAGGCTCTACATGAGTCACGATGTCGTTTAGGCATGGGTATGGGAGAGTAGCGGGTGTAAAGACTAGCGGTATAGGGTGATTCGCAAAATATCTTCTAATCAATCTCTGGGAATAGGCTAGCATTTTGTGACCAGCTTTTAAAATTTTATGACCGGCCTTTCCTGAAATAACAGAGTAGGAAGAATTTGGTTAATCGTTACTTTACCGTGATCTAGAGGTCTGAGTAATTGTCTGCTATGTATGTTTCATGATTGGGATAACCGCTAGAGGGGTTTAGGGTGACTCACATAATTTTCGCTTACTACGGCACTTCATCTTAAATTTTCTTCGCAAATCTTCCATATTATAATTTTTTACCAAGTAAATTGAAAATAGTGAGATTTTACTTGTACTCTGATATTTTGAAGGCGTCGAACAAGGGAATCATGGTTTTGCAACCATAAACTCAAAACTTGACAGCCTTGAATCCATCTCAAAAAGTCTCTTTTTTTGTAGTTTTTTCTCAATAAAAAGCAGAAGTTGAACTTCTCACTTTGAGGAGCAAGCAGTCTTGGGAACACTAGAACAAGTTACTGACAGTAGTTGAAATTTTGCTGAAATTGATTTCAAAAATTTGACGCCTTTGGTTTTTTCCTCATCTTGATATAAATTGGCCTACATGTAATCTAAAAGTAAAAAAAATTCTAGAAGTAGTATAAAGTTCCTTTTTGAGTATATAGAATTCTCGACCATTCTGCTTTTCCATTATCATCAGTCCTTATATGAATAGGCCCCTGCGGCCCCTTGGCTAAAGCTAATCCCGGAAATTAGCCGAAGATTTGCATCTTCTTGCAGCGGAGCCACCGGAAGTGTCAGACGCAGCGCTACGCTTCTGCCGCGCCGCCTTTCCCACGCATGGTTTTTCACCTGCGCAGGTGATCCATTGCTTATGTTGCGATTCTCCTTGAAATTCTCGGAAAAAATGTCATCCCATCTCAAGGCGGCTTTCGGTCTTATGTCAACTTGCCTTCTGATCTTCCCGACGTTGTTAGATGAGCTTTTTCTCGCGGGAACTCGTCCTGATTTAGGGTTTCGATGCCACACCTGTAGTGGAAACAATCAATGCTATCACTAAATAAAATCAAATTTTACTAGTTAGAGTAATGCCCACCGATAGCGATCGCAGCTTTCGATGACTGAAAGGTAGTGCAGCGCCATTCAGAAAACAGTGAAATAAAAATATAGTAGAATTATCATGTAATATAAAAGTAATATGTAGGAAATGTATTGCAATATATTGCAATATTGATTAAATGATGCAGTTTGAATAATTTGATTTAAAATTTAATACGTTATGAAAATTTGATGTTTGAAAATTGTTTGCTTTATTTTTGTCTTTTTGGGTTTATTAAAAGGTAAATCCATAGTCTATTGTCTCAGAAAGCTGACGTTTTTTTGTTTGTTTTGGAACTAGTTGGCTTACCCGGCTCCGCCCGGCCTTTTCAAAACACTATGATAAAGCTCCCATCCCTATCCCTGTACAACCTTTCCCTGTGCCCTCTTCCAGATACAACTCCAACTCCCTATTCCCACTGTGTTTTAGTTGTCAGCATGCTCACTTATCCCTGAATTGAAGCGCGAATTCCCAGCCCCGTAGCTCAAAATTTTTACAAAAAAAAACCCGATTAAATCGAAAAAATAAGGGTTAGTTTCAAGAACTAATATTGTATTCGTAATCAACATGCTCGATTACCCCCTGTGCCATCTCCCGGCCTCGTAGCTCAAATTTTGCAAAAAAATCGATAAAGTCGATATCGATCGATAATAGCCTACGACACCCACCCTGCCCCGCAGTATATGTGTGCCAGGTTTGGTCCGGATCGGTTCAGAAATAAAAATTCCTATTCCGCACATACGTACAGGCAGACAAACAGACATTCAGTTTTATATATAAGATTCACATTTCTATTTTTTTATCGCTTTCTGAGGCTTTGTAAACAGTTCTCTGCTCTCAACCCTTCCCCATTTTTTTCCGCCCTTCCCTAGCAGAGGTAGTACTTCGATTTGTTTCAGATGGGCAGTGCGAGAAAACGATGGCGAATTCAAGAATGCTGTGTGCAGTGTTCGATATGACAATAAAGAAGAAATGGAACGACCTCCGCTATTTGGAGCGAAATTTCATTTCACTCTGGATAGCCAAGTGAACTGCCCAGAGTTCCTTGCCTATTTTCCGCTAGTCAAGAAGTGAGTCAAATTTTTTTGTCACTTTAGAATCATCAAAAGTTCGATAATGTTATTTGTTAGGATTTTGTTGCATCTCAAAATTTATGAAATTTCTTTGAATTTTGAGGATATGTCTTTAGGTCAGTGTTTGAGAAGCTTGATATTTTAGGTTCTGAAGTTTTCAAAATCGATGACACCCCTTTGAGCTTGTTTTATGCTAGAGAGATCTCGAGATTCCGGCTAAAATTCTATTTATTAAATGATGTTAACCTAATCAACCCTGCCCTTAAATGTATTTTTGAAATAGTGAGACTTTGACACTTCTCTGGTGATCCTAGCGTTTGGAGCTTCGTATAGTGTAATCTGTGTACGATTTTCCCATTGACTAGAGTTTCCGCATAAAGTAGTGATCATTGCGGTTGATAATGGCATGTGATAATTTGCGTCGTTTATCCGTCGATTGATGTAATTATATTCGCTTGAATATCGCGCAAAGTTTGTTAAGGTTATCAGCGAAGGTGATAGGTTACATGTTTTTCATCTGGTTAACGAAAGACGCTGAAAAGCAAGCGGGAAATGTTTAAAACGCAGATTTTTTTGTGTAGTAACTCTGAGGGTTTTTCGCGTATTCGGTAAACCGGCTACCAGTTGAATCAGTATTACTAGCTTTTTCAACCCTTCCGCTCTCGAATCATGTTGGAGTACTACTTCCTCTCTAACTTACCGCGAGAGGCTTACCTGGACAACGGTTCCCAGGCTTGTTATGGCTACTTCACTGTGGCTGCTTAAAAAACTCCCACGGTGGAGTTTGTTTATCATTTGTTCTCAGAATTATCTGAATTTAGCTCAATTTTTGGCTAATTACGTGGGAGATTATCAATGTTAGACTGTGCAGGAAATCAGAAAAATTGCAAAGGAAATTAATTTGCTATCTTTGGCAAGGTTATATTGTAATTGCTATTGAGAGTTTTCGTTGTGTCTAGTCTTATGGTGTTTATCAGGGCTAATATACGAAGACAGTTTGGAGATTAAAGCTCTTAGGAAACTACAAGTTTGTCAAGAATGTCTTGGATTTTCCAAAAATTGAGACTTGGATTTCTTATGAGTGACATGTATAGAGAACTTACTAGTCTTTACAATTTTGAATATGGGAATAATTGTCAGAGAAAGATCGAATTTTTCCTTAAACTTTACAAAGCTTATGGTCCGACCATAGTTTTGCTTGATTCGGTATTGGGATTCCAGATTCTTTTTGGTGGTACATATCAATCAGAAATCAGTGTGGGACCCCCTTTTCTTGCCACCTCACGAACAGTCGATTCTGCAGACCCTAGAACTGGCTGATCTCCTTATAACCCTCACTATCGCAACTAAATGAGCTAGCCTCGATTCATACCCCCAAATCTAGTCTCTGGAGGTCGCGACAATGTCACGTTCAGTTTTTTCACTTACGAAACCCATTGCATAACTGTAGAAACAATAACGAGACAGGTAGTTTCAGACGGCGGCGATGAGCGGCCCAATCTCAGCCCCCGTCAAAAAACCCGTGTAAAAAGCTAAGTGAATCGTTGCGGGCGGTGATTACAGTCAGCGGGGTGCGGCGGGGAAAACCTGTTCTGCGGGCTGACGCGTTCGCATGCGCGGGTGTACTGTAGGTGCTGTGCCTTCGTTCGGGTACAGTAGTCGTGTGGGAAGTTTTTAAGATTTTCTATCAACAAACTTCTTCTTCTTATTCATAGTTCATTACCGTATCTGTAACTGTTGCTTCAATTTTTTAGAAAAAAATTGTCGAAAATTCAATAAGGTTTAATGGTGATCTTTTTCTTTACCGTATCCATACCGTAATCCTTGTTATGCCTTTTCGAGGTCTTATAATTCATATCACTTCCAGTTTTATTCAAATCTTGTAGTCTTGAACTTTCAAGCTCCCTGGCTTCTCCCCCTCCCCCCCCCCCTTATCCACCCCATGGGCCAGACCATTTAAGTGATTTACCGCCGGGTTATACGCTAAGCGCCAAGCAATTAACGGTGTGAGGTATGGGTAGATAAGAGCGAGTCAGGCGCTGACGTCTAGTATCCTCTGGGAGATCAAAGGGAGATGTACTGGGTGGATAGGGGACTGGGGAGGTGACAGCCGTTGGTCTGTTTCAAGGAAAATAGAGGAGAATTTCTCTTATATAACTGGTCTTCGAAAATTACAAAAAATTGCGAAATTTCCCTTGAACAGCTGATCTCTGAAAATCAAGTTAATCATTTTCTTCTTTAGCATTATCAACATCATACTTTTTATTTTCTTTTCGTTTATATGCCAATGCTGAAATCTTTCACTTTTTGTTCTTTTTTTTTAAAATGAATGAGAAGGAGCTGCTCTGTCCTAACGAAGGAAGTTTCTAAAGATTTTAGCCGCAAGGAAGGGTAAAAAGAATGATTTTTGAACGTGAGAAATTCCTCCGAATGAACGGAATATCCTTTATCCCATGGAGCCATGTCCTTCCAGGAATTATTTCAAATTAGCTGCAGATTGACACTATCTAATCTCTTGATAAATTTACCTCAGTGTTCTTAACCCTTTTACTTCAGACTTCTAGAAGAATTGGACATGGAGCTCGTGTTTGTGCGAAAGTTCCCAGAGGCATTGCAACATTGGAAAACAACAGGAGGTGGTTTGCTCACGCGAATGCAGGTATGATTTACAGAAAACGTTGGGAGAATTGAGTGATTTCATTTTGTGCATTTGTACTTGCAAAAAACTCTGTTCAAGTGTGTAAATTTTTCAGGCGCTGGAACCATATCCACCACGGAATGGTGCAAAACTCTCTGCTGAAGATGCTGAGTACGAACAGGCAAAGGAATTTGTAAAAGCCTTGGATTCAAGGGAAAACAATATTGTAAGTTTTTTTGCACCCATGTAGATCTTGTTTAGCTATCATAATCAAGAATAGATTGCATTCTGTTTTGCTTCCAAATTTTGATGCTGAACATGTTTCTCTATTTTCTAATGATCTAGTTGCTTTGCCACCTGCTTTAGCAATACATTTTCAAAAGCTTTTTTATTAATTCGAAAAATGAGAATATCCTTATCTTCATTATCCATTTTCTCCGTTGTTCAAAGATGCTTGATTTAGCTCAACCTCAAAACTTTCTATAGTTGCTAGAAATTGTGGATTTCCGGTTACAAAAATGGTCTTTTGATTAGCCTTTCTTATTATAAACAAAATAAACCTATAAGAGAAAGCAGCTGAAAAAATGCATGATTCTTGATTTCTGACATTTTCGCAAAGGTTTTCCTGCGAAATAGTGATCATTGGTCACATTGGGTCGCAGATTGCTTTTTATATGCAGTAAAAAAATCATAATTTCTTTCGGATACCAATATAAGAGTCTTTTTCAGGGCACACTATCAAAATCTGAGTGGGAAGCCTTTTGCATGTACCTTGTCTTCGCATTCCGTAAGAAAGGAGCTGCTGAAGAGCCAACATCAAGCAAACCTGAGAATGAACGGGAAGAACCACCTATCAAGAAGCGTTCAGAAGAAACAGATGCAAGAGATGGATTACCTATTAAAAGGAGGTTATCAGAGGAAGCGGAAAGCAGTTCATAGTAATTGTCGACTGATTTGAAATCGCAAAATCCCAGTTGTCTGTAATTTTGTTGTTGTTATAATGCTCATCCTCTTTTGAGCCTGTTTCGTATTTTTGTAACTTTATAAGTCATCTTCTAGTCTGTGACCTTCACTGACAAAGCTGGCTAATGTCTATGTAAATGTAACAAGCCGTGGTCTCGTATAAGCGTGGTTCTATACATTGTTATTATGTTAGTGGCTGTTTCTTTTTTGAAGAAATGTAATTTGGTAAATTGGCATAAAGATCGCTCTTTCGAGTTCATCTGGATTATGATTTACCTAAATCGTATTCTTACAAAAAAGCATAATTGCAAGCAAGTTTGCACTAGGCGGTATGTAATGTGTAAATTTTTACTGTATTCTAGTTTTATTGAGATTTTTCGTGAGCATGTATTTGTACTGCTAGAAATTAGGCAAATGCTGCAAACTAATCATGTGGCAAAGTTTGAAGAAAACTGTTAAGGAAATTTTCTTTTGAAACGTTTGTAATCGCAAAGTGGGAATTTTCACGCAGAATAAATTTGTCCACAAATTATTAAATTCTCAACATTTTCATTATTTAGTTTTTGAATATTTACAGATGAAGGTGGAATAAGCTCATGAGATCACCTGGAATAAGCTCATGAGATCACTCAGATATATCTTCACAATAAAACTGTGTGATCGAGATTTTTGTGAAAAATCGTAGTGCCAAAGGAATTTTCAGTTCAGAGATCCCATTGTACCTTATCACGGTAATAGTGGAATATTCGTCTATAAACTACGTCTTGTCAGTTACATGGATTTTTCAAAAAATTTAGATTATTACCAATTCAAAAAACTGAAGTCTGTTTAGGCAACAGGTTTTTTCCCAAGGGAAATGTCGAATTCCCAAAGCCGTTATTCTTGAACTGAAGTAAAACTCTTGATTCGAAAGGGTCGGGAAAGTGGTACTTTTGTTTATGAAAAATTTCATCACCTTATAGTTAACAGGGCTCGGCACAGGTGTTTTATAAGCAAGCTGGATATCGTTTTTTGGGACAAAAAATAAAGAAGATATTAGGTGGGCCCGAAATGAGGTTTTTTTAGTCGATTCGGATATTCTGGATAAAGGTCCAAGGGGCTTCGTAAAATTTTGCGAATGTCAGTAGGGACTCCGTTTTTGCATTTTCGGAAAGCCCGTACCGAGCCCTGATCGTTAACACACACAAAGCTCCTGTAGCCAGTATTAAATGTACTAATAATGAGAATCTATGCACTTTTCCAGACAGCATTTGCTCTCACGGTAATATCGACATCGGCAAAATTCACCTGTCTTGGTGAGGTAAGCAGTCGAGTGCAACTTGTTTTGCGTAATTGAACAATCTAGGGGAAAACGGTATTATAAATGGCATTCGTTACTATTATAGTCATTGCATTGGCCGCGTCTCGTAGAGCGTATCCTTCTCTCACGAGTCCTTCAAAATTCCCATTCCATTGGCTATCTATTCGCCATTCGCGTAATTGCTTCGCGTAATAAAAGTTTTCCATTTGCCGAAGCTATAATGAACGGAGCACGTTTGCCGCGGCTCGACTTCTGCTCTCTTCTCTCTGGCAGGATGAGGGCCCTGCTAGGCCCCTAGGGCCCTAGAATCCCCCTTGCCATGGGGCACGGGGCGATGGGGGCCGCGCTCCGCCCACACAGCGAGCGGGGCCGACGGGGGCATCGCGGCGGCGGTACCGTAGCCCCGTGCGCGAGCGCCACGCCCATTTCCAAGCAGAGGCATGAACGAGTGCGCCGGCTGTGCTCAACCTATTCTTGACAGGTGAGGATACTGTAGATCATCGTCATCAATTAGTGAATTTAACCTCGTAAAAGTCTTAAATATCGTCTTGCGGACAAGTTTTATGCCGGCACGCACTTTTGCGGCATTTCCCCACGTCAAAAACACTTCTATCTCATAGCCAATCAACTCTGGTAATTGAATGTGCTTGGCTGCGCGCATATATTGGGGGCTGATATTATTGCTTACTTCAAGTGTTACAGCATTACAGCTGCCTTTATATTCACAATACTCCCACAATACTCCTTATTTCACGCCTAATCACACAACTATCACTCTCTCTCCTGCCTTTTCCCAAGCTATTTTTCACCTCGGAAAGAGTTGCCATAGCGGCGTGCGGATGGTTCCGTTAGTATTTCACTTCGTTCTTGTCGATGATGAATTCGCCCTTAGGGAATCGGGAAGCTCAGAGCCGTTTGTCCCCGAACCGACGTTCGTCGTCGAGACGAGACATCGACGACGATGCCAGATTTCATGCGCGATCCCCACCTTTGATTTATGCAGATGAAGTGGAGAAAAAATTCGTAGCCGCAGAAGGATTGATGCGCCTTGCCGGGCTTATGTCGGTTTTCGAGAACGGGAAGATTTGTTGGCTCGGAGAGAGGCTTCAATATTTATCTCGGAAAAAGGAAAATTTTTGGAGTTTTTGGTGTCCGTAAGGAAGATCTATTTGTATTCTAAGTCAGTCTATTTGACAGGAATTTTGACAGTGCTGTTCCTTACATTAAGTCACATACTCTGAATGGACTGGAAAACTTATGGGTTCCAAATGTCCAAAGAAATCCCAAATTTTAAATGAAAGCTGACTCTTAATCCTTTATGTCCTTACGGGATTACTTCTCTGATGTAAAAATGCTTTGACCTACCATAAAATCAAATTTCAAGTAATTTCGTCCACAATCTCACTCCTTACGGTTTCGAGATGTCCCTGGGCACTTCCATTAGTATTCAGGAACTTGTTTTTATACCCATAAACTAAAAATCCAAATGAATTTTGCCGAAAAGCTTTTTCCTGTCCTTTTATTTCGCTTCGGGAGTTTGGAAAGTTGCTTTGTTCCTCCATAGAGTGGAAGTCAAAAAAATTTTTTTCTTGAAAGAACGTCCTAAGCTTCTGGGAATGCTTGGGAGTACCCCCAACACTTTTCAGTATTTTCAGTGATTTCCCAAAACTGTCGAGACTTCCCGAGCAATTCTATGCAAGCAAGAATTTCATAAATCACACAGTATTATAATAAAGCATGACTATCCTCATAGAACCCAGAAATAAGATCTTTTTTCTTCAGGAGCCTCGAAATTCCTGATTTTTCCAGGTATGTATTCAACGTTGTGGGCAAATCCTGGCATCAAGCATGTCTACGATGTTCGGATTGTTTATCGCCGATGAGCGATACCTGCTTCAGTCGTGATGGTCTAATTCTGTGTAGGACTGACTTTGCAAGGTTTGTTTCTTGCCCCTACCGGCTTGAAAGTTTGAAAACTTCCCTTCTCTTCAGGCGGTACGGTCAACGATGTGCCGGATGCGATGGAGCATTGGAGAAAGAAGATTTGGTCCGGAAAGCTCGTGACAAAGTGTTTCACATTCAGTGTTTTCAGTGTTCTGTCTGTCAACGACGGTTGGATACTGGAGAACAGGTGAGAATTTACCGATGTTATCGAAATATCAATACCATAACTCTGCTTGGTGTGAATTTTCTCATAAACGTGCTGTGTCTCGTATTCTCACCCTTCTTGAGAAATATGCTGTGTGGAGTGAATGTTCTGCTCTCTTACAGCTTTGTAGTACTTTTAAATAGTAATTTTGTGCTCTAGTAACCTTAATCTGGTGAATTATAACTTGTCTTTTCACAATTTGTTGGATTTATTCTTTAACTTTCATTCTGCCGTTTCTGTTTCATATTTCTTTCTTAAAAATTCTTTAAATCGCTGGAACTTTTTTCTCATCATCTTTTTGGTTTTGGTCTCTTTGGACTTTCTAACTGAGGGTAAAATTCTTTTTTTTTTCAACAAGGAAGAGCCAATTCAGTGTTCTTTTCCTTGAATTCCTGTTTCGAAATTTTCCCTCAAAATAAATTTCTGAGAAAATTTCTCAAAAATAGCGCTTTCCACCTTCACTTCTTATTCACACTATGTTCTTCACATATGAAAAGTTTGTGAGCAGTCCCGCGAGAAGCTATTTATCTCGTGGAAAAATATCCCCATGGGCCGTCCGGAACATCTCGGTCGAAGGAGAGTCGGACGGGCACGAAGCCCGTCTGTCTCTCAAAGGTTGATGTTATGATAGCGACTACTTTGGGTGTAAAAAATCGAAAGCTGGGCGGTTGAAAGTTTTCTTGGGAAAAATGAGCTCTACGCATGAACATATTGTATGGGAAGGGGAGAATCAATACCATGAAATGCTGTTCTGTGATTAAATTCAGGCTTTTTAAATTATTTTTAAAGCAAGCTATGTGCGATGAATTCATGTGATGGCATTTTCTCCAATAGCCAAATATTTCTCAGTTTATTATAGCAGGCTACTTTTGCAATCCATAGACTTTCATTCATAATGATTTTCCGAATAATTGTGATTATATCATTTCTGCCACCAGCATCCGTGCATGTAATTCAATTTTTTTTTCGTTATGGAGCTGACCTTTTCGTTATGGTTTTGCTGGTCCACCTAAAGGAGCCTACAGGGTGTCCTCTTCTTTCCGCTAAGAGACTTGTGATTTGTCGGAATTTTTGTTTGATATTTAAACCCTAAGGTATTTTTCCTAATTTAAATTCAATTTCATTTTGGTAGAGTACTGTAATGTTTCTTGGATCCCGCAATCTCAAATTTTTATGAAGAAACTTTGAATTTTTGGCTAAGGGCTATTGTAGCATGGGCTCAGAATCATTAATCTCTAGTTCTTCTACTTATGCCCCGGATTTTTAAGTAGAAACAAAAAACAAAATAAGGATTATAAAATTGTTTTAAAAACATAATACTCAATATTTTTCCATCTTCCTCGATATTCACAGTTTAGCCAATACTGGTCTTAGGATTTATTAACTTTTTGAATGATAATTTTCCAGTTGTACATTCTCGAAGGAAATCGCTTCGTCTGCCAACAAGACTTCCAAAACGCAACAAAAAGTTCGACACCGTCATCGACATCGAATCGACCAGGTAACTAGTGTGCCTAACCTTTCTAAAACCCGTGTTAGAGAAAGAAGTGGGGATTATGCTGATTCGGGAGTTTGTGCGGGTTGTGTCGAGGTGGCAATGGCGCCCCGAACACAAAAGGCGCTCAGCACTCAGCTGTGTCCGATCCGCCGCTTTTTGAATGCCGCACTACACTTGTGAACTCGCAGAACATTCTCGACTGTGAGAATATCGATGCAAAAGTGAAATTTTCCTTTCCCCTGTCAGCTGGGCACTGGGGGAGGAGGTAGGGGGGGCGGGGGAAGAGGTCTAAGGAAGCGCGGCATAGTGAGATAAGCCTAATCTTAGCCCTACAGTACATCGCCGCCGATGTTTGCTCATCACATCTGGTTCTAATGCGCTTTGATCCATGCTCACTCGCGCTGGATCAGCAGAAATCAGGAGCCGAAAGGAAGAACGATAGCAACATTTTTTTGCCATTTTCTTACGCCTTTTTATTTGTAATAAATAAGCGCAGAATTTTCAAAAATTCATACTTTCTACGAAAATTTATGGGAACAAGTTTAAAGAATACGGTTGAGTTTGTCAAGGCACAATTCTAAAGAATTTTAGAAGCTTAAATTGTCGTGGTTCTTATGTTTTATCATTCTGGCAAGAATTACATGATCTTATATTTGAATCGAACAAATTATTGTTTTCCATCCCTACAGCAATGGTAATGGTACATAGTTAGGCGGGAACTTGGGAGTGTTTTAATTGGTTTTGACCAACATTGCAGCTTTGTATTAATTAATATTCATTCAGATAAAGTCTATGGTGCCCAAAAATCTTCATACTGTTGTTTTACCGATTTATTCACTGTAGATTGAAAATCACCATTCAAAATTTGGTTAACGATCAGAACTGTGAATCCGGAATAATATGTTGATAACTTGATTTTTGAATGTTGACGTTTGAAAATTTCCCGGAAGTTCCGTGCATTTATGATGTAATTACGCATCACCTTTTTTTATTGAAAAATTTTTTTTCTCTGCCAGTAGAGGGCTGACCGACTTATGTGATAATTTTCTCTTTGGTTCAGTTGGAGTGTTTAGCATTTACGACATGCGGGAGACTGAGAAAATATTTTTTGTTGAAATTCCATAAAATATTCTCTGTTTCTTTCAAGTAAGTTAAATAATATGACTCTATGTTAATAATCGTGACGTAAGAGTGTTCAAGCAAAGTGTGGAGTTTTACGAAGCAAATAACATCAATTTGAGATTGCTTTATTTGCTTACTAGATGGCAAACCCGGCTCCGCCCGGGGCCAAACTTTGCACACATACACTTCGGGGCAGGGAGCGTGTCATAGTCCACTTTTCGTTATCGATCGATGTCGATTTCACCGATTTTTTGCAAATTTTGAGCTACGGGGCTGGGATTAGTAGCCTATGACACGCTCCCTGCCCCGAAGTATATGTGTGCCAAGTTTGGTCCCGATCGGTTCAGAAATAAAAATTTCTATTCCGCACATACGTACAGACAGACAGACATACATACATACAGACAGACATTCAGCTTTATATATAAGATTATCTTTCCAAGAATGGAAAATACATGTTTTTGACAAATTTTGCGAAAATTCCAAGTACTTCACGAATCTTTTATCACTCCAAATTTTAGTGTCGAACAGCTCCGAGTGCAATTCAGACGCTGAAGAAGAGAATGTGGATGCATCGGAAGATGTAAGCGGCTATACAACCTGCAAATCTCAAAGGCGCTTCCTTCCGAATGATTAATTTCCCTATCGCAGGTCCCTGTCGACGAGGCCGAAGGCGGTGATGGAGAGAATAAAGATGACGCTGCGGCTGCAAAACGACGGGGACCACGAACGACAATCAAAGCTAAACAGGTTTGCTTCAGAAAATGATAGTTATAGCTGGTGAACTGGACGAGTCTAGTGTTTTTGCGTTGCTGACAACATTTGCGCGTAAACAATGACAATAGCAACTCGCGAGCAGTTTGCAAGCATTCATAGGTATGACGTTTGTTTTCTCGCAGATATTTCCCTTACCGCAAAAGCACTACACTGATCGTTAGAATAAACTGCATCTACGTTTATAATCGGTGATCCTGCGTATATATGGTTGTTTACGATTTGTTAAAGCTTTCAAAACTTTTTTAGTTATCTTCCTGACTTCCTGGGCACATTCGGTAGTTTGTGAATACTTGAAGTTTCCCGAACTCCTCTGAGTGGTCTTTTGACATATCTCAGTAATCTCCCCGGCGATCTGCACTTCAAATCACTGCTTTGATCCATTAATTGGAAACGTCATCTCTTTCATGTTTTGCCGACAACTGAAACTCCAGCTTGGCTGTCAGTTGCAGCCTAGTGTAGGTAAACAGAATTGAAGATTAGCAGACACTTACAAGGGAATGGTCAGAAGTCGAAGTGGCCAAACCAAACAAGCTGTTTACTATTCGGTGCAGTATAAAACGCTGATTTCGAATCTGTCTTTCTTATCTGCTTCCCGCTTCTGTGGACGAAGCTACAAGCGGTTTTATTGTGAAAAAATCACACATAAATGCAGCGAAATTGAGCACACTGTTGCACTTTTAGCTCAGTTCCTTTGTTCAAAAATTCTAAGTAGGCTAGCTGCATGTTTTGGCCCAGCATTGAAGCGAACGTGGCTCACCACGGCTAAATTTTCAATTTCACGCGTAATTTCTTAGCAAAATAATGGTTTTTAATGGCTTGTAGCTTTGTCCACAGAAGCGGGAAGCACATAAGAAATACAGATTCGAAGTCAGCGTTTTATACTTCATCGAATGGTATACGGCTTGTTTGGTTTGGCCACTTCGACTTCTGACCATTCCCTTGTTAGTATAAAAGACGTAGCTCAAAATTACCTAGGAAATTGCTTTCAGAAAACGAATTTCTAGACGATAATAAATGATATATGAAGTCTTCTTCGGAGAGGGCAAACCTTTATAACTGCATTCTTCCATCCAAAATTAATACTTAAAACCGAATCACTTGGAGCTTGATATCTGTACTAAACAAACATTTCATCGCCTGTGCTCTTAAAGTTTCTAAAAATTCCTTTCCATCTCTTTTTCCTCTCAAGCCTAAATGACCGAGCAGACAGGTGCTAATAAATATAATCTAGCGTTTTGCACATCTTTTACCGACTATTTTTGGTGGGGAGTCGTAGAGTAGAGTGTCTATGTCTATAAATGAAAATGACTTGATTATCGTTGCCAAAAATACAAATTATATGAAGAATGCAGTCCATGAGTTACTGTGATGCACTAAACTCTGAAACGATTAACTACACTGTAGAATTCATCTAGTTTGCTCTTTTAAGCATTCTCCAAGTACAGTCAAGCCTTCAATGCACAGAGTTACGCATTTTCCTCATCTATCTCAAACGTTTTAGGTACCTTTTATAAGAAGAAAAATGAAGTTCTAAAATTCGGATGGAGGATTACCCTTCTTTCGATTCAGTCAATGTAACTTTCAAAATTCTTCATACAACCGAGAAGATTACTTCATGGTTCACAATAATCAAATACATATATCACCAACAGCTTTCACATACCAAACTCCAAGTTTGAGCATTCAGAAGCGTCAAATTCATGAATTCAAGAATGTTTCAGAACATGCAATTCAACTGTCAGTGAGACATAAAGTTCAAAAATTCCTCACGATCATGGGCTGATCATACCAGTTCCCGTTTTTTGTTATGATTTCTAAAATTCAAGAAGTCTTTTTTCTGCTGGTGGAGTTATTTTGCAGGAACAGACTTGTTTCCGAATTTTTATAACAAGTTTCAAAATTAGAAGTACTGAGAACTTCACGATTCCATTATGCTAAACTTTTGTACTAGCAAGTATTTGATAACCGAACGCTTCTCCACCTACTTTCTCATCACCTTCACATTTTTCTTTGGGATTACTGTATCCGCTATCTGTCACCATTTCTCCTCCACATGACTAACCTTGCCCATTTTCCTATGCATACGTTCGTTTTTCCCACCGACTTGCCTATCGATTACCGCTAAATTCTCATAGAGGGGAATCGATTGTGGCTATTACATTGTCCTTATGAAATAATAAGTTTACATCAGATGTTTGTAGAATAACTTATAAGTAGACTATTGCAGCTGGAAACGTTGAAGAATGCATTCGCCTCAACTCCGAAGCCTACACGACATATTCGAGAGCAACTGGCACAGGAAACTGGTCTGAATATGAGGGTTATACAGGTGGGTGACCATTATCAGTTTTTGGAATACGGTAAATAAAGTCCAAGGTACGGTAAAAAGAAAAATTAGCCTAAAAATCTGTAAAGATTTGTGTACTACTGCAAAAATTCCTTAAACGTTGTATAGTAGGGGATGGCATTTGATGTACGGTAAGATCTTGATCTACTACCGTATGCTCCTGATCTGCTACAGTATGCTCTTGTGCCATCCTGTGCTCCTCTGCGCCATTTTAGACTAGAGATTTATCGTTAAAAATTGCATTTTGTTCCACGGTTCGTGTAAAAATAAAATTTCTATTTTGGAAACATCAACTCCGCTTATATCCTTCAAAGTTATGATACCCCAAAGCAAGATTTGTAAGAGTTCATGATTTAATAAGCCTTCTCATGACTTTCAACCCTACTCTGCACTTCCCCCTCAGAAAAATGGAAAAATTCGGGTTTTTGTCTCAGTTGCCTTTTTTGTCATTTGTAGACATAAAAACCCGATCAGATTCTGGAGGTTTCATTCAATATCTGAAGCCGTTTTTATGTTTTTTTATATATCTACGTTGAACCATTCGAAAGCAATGTTGAACATTTCTCTCATTTCACCAAACGCAAAAAAAATCGAAATTTTCTGCCCCATCAACAATTCTCTACTACAGTTCATACAGCCTGCTCACTGCACTTCACCTCAGACCTTCTTTTCTCCTCTCCTCTCTTGTCGTCACATCGTCGCGTCACAGACGGACGGACGGATGGACGGACACACACACCGGCTGTCACCGTTGATTAGATTCGGTAGAGTGTCTGGGGCTCTCTTCGACTCTTCAGCTCTCTCAACTGCCCCTCATTTCCCCCTTTAATTCACCTGCTTCTCCCTCGGGAAGCCAATTCAATTACCGTATCCGCGCTCGACGCTCGCGAACAGCCCTGCTCTGCTCCGTCGTAAATACCTCCGCATGTCGTCGGGCGGCCCCCGACGACCATGCTACGGTAGAACTGAGCACCCTCGATGAGCTTCATCACATACGAGGGTTTGAAAGTGCTGAGACCTTTCTATTGGATTTCATTGCTTACGGAAAACCGTTAAAGTGCTCGGTAGCAGTGTTTCAAATGCACTTTCATAGATTGTGAGATAAACTGTTGAGTCTAAAAGTCTTGCCCCCTCCCCATTTTGATGGCGGGACTTGAATCACTTACTTGAGAAAAGGTGATTCCGACACAAGTGAACAACCTTCTGCATGTTGCAGATACTCTGAAAAAAGGTACTAGTTGCGGTACTATGAAAAAAGCAGGACTTTTTAGAGGAATATAAGCAAAAATGTTAAAAATCCAAAAGTGAAAATCGTTGTGAGTAGAAATAACAGTAGAAATTATAGTCATCTCAGCAATAGCTTCTCTTAGAAAAAATGGAGTAATTAAACATCCTAAAGTTATACTTTTTGGTAGTACCAAACAGAATATTTTATCGAGTTTTTACAACCTTCGAACGTTATCGAAATTATTTTTGTTAAAAAAACCAACTGCTTATCATGCTATAATGCTTGGAAGTGCAAATTTAAAGATAAGTTTCGTTCTTGTAAAATTTCCTGTGAATGTAAGAACAAAAATGTACCTATCATAGAAATGTGATAAATTATGTTATTTGCAGCTTGTTGACGGGCCCCTGCCTAACAAGAGCTTTGTAAATCTTCTAAAGTTCTTCATAATCACATTATCATTCATATTCTCGTCCTCGTCTTACCATGAAACTTAATACCATTGACAAACTCCTTGGATTACGTCAGACGCCACCGATCTCAAACTCCCTTTCAAGTTAAAGTTGCCGGCAAATTTTTTGAGTTTCCTTGGCTCTGGTGGTATAGTCGATGAAATTCGGACTCAAAAGTAAGCATTCGTTGAAACAACAATCATTTCTATGCTCAAATTGTGGTAAATTTCCGCTGTTTGGATCTTGTATGGTATGATCTTTAACGACATAGCATAGATTTAGTTGTGGAATGGGGTCGAAAATTGGGTAATGGTGGAAATAACATCTGACCTGTCCAGAACGTTGGTGGAAGTTCCGAAGTGCATCAGAAATTACACACGATTTTTCCTTGGGTGGATTTAGTTGGATTCAAAATGATTATTGATTATTGATATGTTGCTGGCATTATCTGACTTCATATAAATCTATTCCTTCAGGTTTGGTTTCAAAACCGTCGAAGTAAAGAGCGGCGGATGAAACAGCTGCGGTTCGGTGGTTTTCGCCCAACTCGAAGAAGTCGAGGTGGTCGAGACGAACTCTGTCAGGATATGTTCGCTGCAGGTGAGGGACCTTTTCCACTCTCGGCTCACCTCACTGACCTCTGCTGACGTCTGCGTTTACGCTATAGGATGAGCTGAGCAAGTGCCAGCCTTGCGTTGATTGCCGTGATTACGACCATTGCGTCATAATAGGCAGACCGCAGGTGACACCATCATGAACCGATGATTACCATACGCACGATTGAGCCGTTAAGAGTCGGGAGAGGGGATAAACACTTGACTCTGGAGCATCTTATCTTTTGCAGAAGGTCCTCCACCAGGATTTTTCTCCCAGCATCCGATTGGATTTTTCTGTGATCCTTATGGGGAACGAGGACCACTACCGCCACTGCCAGCTTTTCCAGTAGCTTCTGACGCTCCACATCCTTTAGTACATGGTAGGTCCTACCAGAAAAAACTATACTATTCATGGAGCCCATGCAAGAATTGTACATTTCTAAATGCACCTGTTCCAGATGGTTTTGGAGAACGGAACTCACCGATGACCGGCACCGGAGGGGGTGTGGTGGGAGCCATACCGACGTCGCTACTTCCGGCCGACTTTGACCCCGACATGAGCGGTTACCAACCTCTGCCGTCGATGTATTCGACGGAATTGAAAGCGCATCCGATGGCTGGTTGGTAGGGTTCTGGTATCAGCTGGACGGCATTTCAAATAGCTTTAGCTCGATTCGTGCTTCATCACCAAAGTTTTGAATCTTCCGGTTCCGTACTCAGTTGTGGTTTGGTGGCTCGTAGCAAAAAATTGTGTCATCACTGTAGCAAAATTACCTCTGTCGGAAATCTAACCTCATAAAAACAAGAGGTGTGGGGTTTAAGGAATCATGTACGCCGAACTTCATCTTACAGCAGATATGAAAAAAGAAGTTCTTCTTCAGGAGAAGGCAAAGATAATAAACAAATAAATATATAAATAAATGAGTAACTTCACTTCACAGATCTGTAGAATTTTAAATTTTCCTCATTTCCACTTGCCTTAATTTCATGGTATGAAAGTAAATTGCAATGCATGACGGAAAATTTTCCGGAAAATGATAGGTTTAAGATATCTGTCATAGGTGGAACTCCGTACATGAAGTTTGAAAATTCGGAAGGTTTTACTCATTTTCTTGAAAATTTTCAGTCGAAATTTTGGAATAGTGAATCCATGGATGACTTTCTTGAATTATTACAAGTTTGAATTTTTCACTGAAGAAAAAATACTGCAGAAGAATCACTGCCTCTAAAAATCTAGCATTCGAAGAAAAAATCTTTAATTCATAATGTGCAGGTGATATCTTGCAAACGTGCAAAAATTTTGAGACCCCTTTTTGAAAAATTCTGTCATTTAAAAATGTGATCTAATGGCTTGTGCATAACTCCCTTGGATGTTCTTACAATAAATTTTACCTTTTTCCAATTTTTTTGCTACGAGTTACTAAACTTCCCCCCATAACAACGAAATTTCCCAGAATTGGGAAAATTCTCCCGAACCTTGCCATATTCTTCCCGGATCACCTTCTCTGTCTCTCTTCTTCCCGCACACATTAACCAACATCGATATCCGATTTATTCACTTTTGTAGCGATCGGCGCAGCACCTCCGTCGCTTTTGTGGATTTTATTGTTACTCGCTCTCCTCTCTTTTCAATTTTTCTCTTGCGTTGTTTTCTCCATTTCTCCATCAGTCGTGTATTGTGATACATAATATCAGTCTCCCATATCATTTACTTTACAGTGTCCAGGTTTGTTATGATTATCTTTTTGTAAAATAAATAAATAATTTATATCTAATTGCACAGTAAAAATAGAGGTCTTTATGATTATCTCTTGGCAAATGGCCGGAAACTCCAACTGCTCTTTTTTTTTCTTGTGAAAAATTACTGTTGGGCTGTTGATCTTTCTCAACCGCGCCAATTCGTCTCGACAGTCAAAAAACATGCAAAACAACCTGATTTCGTAAAAATAATAGAGGGAGTCCCCAGACCGGAAAAGATAGTCAGGCGTAAAGTGAGCAAATTACTGATAATTGCAACAGAATAGATTCTCATTTCCTAGATGTCTATAGAGCTTCATATCCTTTCTAGAATAACCCGTGGGTAAGTATCCAGGGGCATCCAAGGTAAGTACAGCATGTTTGAATGTAAACTGGATTGCTTGTGATAAGGTTTTTAGCCCAAATTTTCGTATAAATAACTGGACAAAGCTTCAAACAGTTTTTATATTTCTTTATCATAGTCTTTACAATTAAACACTGAATTTGCTTAAGAGGCCGCTGAAAAGTTTTAAAGACTATATGACTGTATATGGATTTTGTACAAAATTTAGTGAAAAATAAACCTATTCAAAAAATCTCTGAAGTTCAAATTGTCTCAACTTTTACCTTCTCTTTCTTAAAAGTACGGAAAAAAATTATTTTCTTGGCTAGAGAATCTCCCAACGTGCAAGTCGAAAAGGAAGGTCCTGGCCGGGATCGAACCGGCGGCCTTCTGCGTGTAAAGCAGACGTGATAACCACTACACCACAGGACCAGATACCAGAATTGCTCAGGTAAATGCCTATAAGCCAGTTCAAATATGTCAATGTAAATGTAACAGTAGTCTACCGTGTCTCCACAGACCTCCTCTAACACCTCAGCTGTCCGCTTAAGATGTGTGACATTGTTGATGTGTATATGATTAGCATTATATGATCCGGGCGTAAGGTCTCTATTCCCATCGGGGCTCTGATGCTGTCAGTAAATGCCAGTTTGATGTGGGGTGTGCTGTGTTTTTCGAAAGGGGAAGGGGGGTATGTGTGCATGCAGATGAGGGCTGAAGAGAGCGCGAATATCGCCAAGCGCACCGACAGCAGCACTCTCGAGGGCAGGTGCATTCGACAAGCCACAGCCAGCCAGCAACGAGCTGTTGAAGAGCGACAGCAAATCGAATGCATGCACACCCTGTGCATCGAGCCTTTTCTCACTTTGACAGGGGGGGGGGCATAATCTAGTTTTGATTTCTAGGAAGCGATATCCAACCAGTTTGTCACCAGAACCGTTTCCGGACATGCGTAAGATGACACCTCTCTTTGCCCGCAAGCACCGAGCCCCGCTCGTCGTCTCATTAACATAACGCACAAATCTGAGCATGCACGAAAGCGATCCATCTTCTTTGGCTCCTTTGCAGCCATTTTTGAATAGTCAATTTGTTTTGGTGTAACGTAAGGGAACATCACGTTATATGTACAAGCGCAGATTTTGAGCTGAATGGGTTTCAGAAGAGGAGAAGGGTTGAAAGTCTAAATATGTGCTGGGTCCAAAAAAGCAGATTTGCAAGAATGCTATTCAAAATAATCCCGGTCCGAACTGAAATGACAGTGACCCTAACGTCTAAAAAATATTTTTGCCCGTCGACCATTGCGGTAGGTTGCTATTTTTAGTTATGCTAACTTCTTCACTGATAATTTCACATAGAATCTTTTTTAAACTTTATATAACTAGAATCATCTAGCAATCTTCTATACTATGAAAACGAAGTGGAGAAAGCTTTAGCACAATGGGAAATTTGTTAGTGAACTCGGCCGCTTTGGCCAATTCAAAATAAGGTTTTTCCAAATAATTCATTGAAGTTAGAAAACTGTAGACTGCTTTTACATCACGCTTATATTTTTTGGGATATAATTCGTATATGTAAATGATTCATTCTCACCTTTTAAAAAATCGCCTCGCTAGGTTTCATCAAAGACTGCAAGTTAATATTTGCCATATGAAATCAGAATTTCAGATTTTTAGACCAACTTAGACTCAAAATACACTTGATATTTTCGCTTTTTGTGTATAGTTTGACTAAAATGCGTTTGGCAAGTAGGTCTAATCCAGTGCGGCTTTGCTTTACTAAATATTTGATTTTTGAATTCAAAACATGCTAAGCCCACTTAGAGAATGAAAATCATGGGAAAATGTTAGCTTGCCACTTGACTCAATTTTTAATTTTCAATAAATAACAGATTCCAGACGGAGACTTTAGGTACGAGATACAATGATTTGAAGGCTAAGGCGCGGACTGGCTTAAAGCTGGACGTTCCCAAAAAATGATAAATTTACGATTCGTCTTTTCAAACACAGGATATCCCAATCTCCAGAAACCTCAACAGCTGATCAGACAACGATTTTACGACCGTCCTCACACCATATGTCCGTACGCGGTAAAATGCAGAACACACTCGATGAGTACGGTAATTACGATGGTGCCATGAGCGGGCGCGCGAAAATGTTTGTGCTGCTTCCGCGAGGGTGTAATGAAGATCGTAATTAGAAATTACGGGCAGATGGGCCGAACAATGTTTAGGAGTAGCTGAACAATGGCTGGAAGAACAGCGACACGGATAAACGGCGGAAATCTCATTATTGCATGAGACGACAGCACCTATCTTTGGATGGAAGGGAGCAGAGGGCAGGGAAGTGAAGAGTAAGAAAAAAGGTAGCTCCAGACTATAACTTTAGATTTCTATGAAATTGATGTCAATGCTGAACATCATGAAACAGTGAATATCCAATTTGTAGTTGAGATTACGAGAGATATGTAGGACAATAATTGTCGAATACCAAGGGACCCGATATACTTAATGAGCCCGGGTTTATGTGTGATGTAGCGCACCTCAAGTCAAATTTGGGTAATTAAACCTTTTTACTTCAAAACGATAAAAGGAAAGCGACAAAATAGACATAAAACAAAAGAACATAAAACACGTATCTAGAACTACATAACAAATGAGGATTAATATCAAAATGATAATAACAGATATAAATGGTAAAAAGATGTTTGTCAGTTAGACTTGCTACAATACTTGTTGTCCCTTTTCTACTCAGCACTTGTTTTTTATACTTGTTTTCTATGATCGCGTGAAATTGGTGGAAAAAATACAAAAAACTGATCAAACTCTAGGTCAAAAAATATGATTCTACCATAGCACAATCTTATTGAACTTCCAAAACTTCAATATTTATGGAAACTTTTTAGTGTTATCCGCACTTTTATCAAAATTTTTCCCTCCTTTATCACCTTTTTTTTCAGGACAGATAGACTCGGAGTTATAAAACTTGCCGTCAAGTATCTTTCTATCATACAAACTGAAGGGACTGTCTTCGGAAACTCGGTCCAGACAAAATCCAGTTTCTTAGTGAATTGCGTAAAGGACTCGAAGGAGTGCAGAAAGTTTGAACTAACCATTATGTTCAACATCTTTACCGTTTGTATATAAATTTAAGATTTTGTATATCATACTAGATAAATACTTGCACTTTACAATGGTATTCGAATGACATATCGTTGGTCAGCTATGAAAAACGAACTCCAAAGGCATCAGATTTTGATGGCGAATTTGGTCTCAAAATATACCAGAATGTCGGTGGCCAGCTCCAAAACCTCTCAAAATTTTTCTCCTGGCAATGGTTCATACTTATTGTGCAGAAAGCTTTGTTTTTCGAGCCTAAGCAACAAAGAGTTGCGTTCAAAACGCTCGTAGATCGCAAACTTGAAAAGAGGTCAAAAAGTAAGTGTTCAACGAAAATAAACAAAAGCTTTCGTCCCAACCTTATAATTATATAAGTGACTTGATAGCAAATTATAGTGATGAAGATCTCAAGCATTCAGACTCTTACAAAAAG